TGACCCACTGAGTAGTTGCTCTGCCCGGACAAAGGTGGGTCAGCTATGGCAGAGTCAAAAGTGGCGGTCCGCTTACGCCCGACGCCCGGACAAAGGTGGGTCAGCTATAGCAGAGTCAAAAGTGGCAGTCCGCTTACGCCTGCCGAGCGTAAGCAGACCGCCCGTCGCGGCAGCAGATTGGGGTTCGGAAATCCTGCCAAAAGCATCCAAAAGCAGCATAATCCGCTGCTCCACGACCCTGGTCCGCTTGCGCCTGCCGAGCGTAAGCAGACCGCCCGTTTCTCCTGCCTGATCCTGCCTGCTGCACACCTACTCGCAGCATCTGGCCGCGGCATCCTGCAGCGGCACGGCGCCAGCGCAGAGGCAGGCAGCAAAGCCCACACAGGCACCTCTTCCTTGAATTAAATAGCTGTGGCTATCTGAGTTTTTTTCCGGCAGCCGCCGAATCCTTTATCGGTGGCTGATTCTGCCAGCCGCCGGATACATTTGCGCCTCCGCCAGATATTTTTTAGGATTTTTTAGGCTGGCTGGCTGGTTCCGCCGGGTCCTTTTTAGGTGGCTGGATGGCTGGTTCCGCCGGATACTTTTTCGGCTGGCTGGCTCGACACATTCCGCCAGGTACTTTGATAGCTGGCTGGCTGGCTGGCTGATTCCGCTGGATACTTTTTCGGATTTTTTAGGCTGGCTGATGCTGGCTGGCTGGTTCCGCCGGATACTTGTTGGGACTTTTTAGGCTGGCTGGTTCCGCCGGATACTTTTTAGGTGGCTGGCTGGCTGGTTCTGCCGGATACAGGTGGCTGGCTGGCTGATTCCACCGGATACTTTTAGCTGGCTGGCTGGCTGATTCCGCCAAGCACCCGGAATGCAGGGTCAATAGAATACCGAGCATGCCACAAGCGCTTTGCTATAGCGCCTAGCTGCTGTTTGGCGGGGTTCTGCGGGCCGCTTCATAATTTCCGTGGACAACCTACTAAGAAATGATGCCATTTTGTTCAGATTGGTCTGCACAGACTTTGCTAACCTTTGGCTACCAAACATGTGGTCACTGCTTTGCTTGCAGCGCCAGCGCAGGAAAAGCGCAAAGCAACAAGTGCCCTGAAGTGGACATGCCGGCCTTCAGCCAGGCGCCGTGGACGGCAGCAGCGATCTCTCCGAACCGAGCCGAAAAATATTTTGGAAGCATCACAAAGCGTCTGGCAACAGCATGCAACAGCTCCGAGAACCTCCGAGACAACGATGGAAAACCCCCCACTGCTGACTTCTGCGATCAGCGAGCGACATGCTCAAACTCTGCACCCGCAGCCGTCTCAAATTCACACCACTGCACCATGACACCCTACCTTTCGCATTTGTCCCAACAGGACTGCAGCTAATCTCCTGCAACTGGTTGATTGGCCTGGGAAATTGCATCTCTCGCTCCATATTGCTCCAGTTGCTCAGCCGAGCGAAGTCGACGAAACCGCGGTAAACATGCGTGAGCCAAGGATCACCGAGAGATGCGTTGGTCTGATCATGCTATGCCATGCTGAGTCGGACATCCAAAATGAAACGTGCTAGTTTGTCATCACTGATCAAAGCCTATAATATAAGCAGCAGGCACGCTCATCAAAACACCACAGAAACCCGCCGGCGGGGCAGCGCCCCGGACTAGTGACTATGTAGTTTTCATCCGTCAGCCAGCACCACATATCACTACATAAAGGGCTTATTCTGCAGGACCCGGGCCATTGTTTTGTCCCCGCCAATATACATAATTACAACAAATCTATTTTCGACCTACGTCCAGCTATTTCTAGCTAATTTCTACCTATTCCGAGCAAATTTCTGCTTATTCTAGCTAATTTCTACTTATTTCTGGCTATATGTAACTTATGTTAAAAGTGCCATAAGTTCACTTGATGTACCCCAGCTAGCAAAAGCAAAGAGCTTCAGCCAGCTCCGGCAACGTCGTCGCCTCGAAATCCTGCAGATTTGGGCCCAGCACGTGAGGCGCAGGCATTGCACCTCAATGCGCCAGTAATTAGAATGCGAACTGTCCGTGAGTTTTGGCTGAAGCTGGGAGATGGTTGGACTGGGCTACATGAGATCAAGGAACTGTAAGATGTATTCTGATGTGTGCTTTGAGGTCAAATGCACGATGGTTACATCGACAGCAAAGAGCCCCGTGCGTCTCGTCTTAACGCCATCACAAACCGTCCGCATCCAACATGGAGACTCAAGCGCTCTCACCTGAGGTCTTCATGGTGTTCCAAAGCTCCAACCTGCTCCAACCCAATGGGTGGTCTCGACGTCGTCTCATGTGCGCATGTGAATTTCATCAGCCGGAACAAATGGTCTCTATCGAGGTCTGATCCTCTACTTTCTTCGAGCTGGACCCACTTCCGAAGTGGCCAATATGTAACCTGAGAGTCTCTACAAGTTCACCTCTGCATCTAATTCGGACGGGAGAATAACATCTAATAATTCGTCCATTGCGCATGATTGTGCCATAAAACACATCATAGCAAAAACACGCAAAACAACGATCAACCATCTCACTGCCTGTGGACTTGGCCCACCCAACCTGTCTCGGCTCAGTCTCAGCTCAAGGTCGGTCTTGGGGGAATCAACAACAAAATGTTCTCTTCTCCCCAGGTAATGGTGCTTCGGGACGTGAAGTGGTTGGATGAAGGGGACATTGATTTTCTTCTGGCCCTGGGGGAAAGCAATGGCAGCTGCTGCTGATTTGCTATGAAAATCAGTCGCCTTGTCTGTTTTGGCTGCATTTGGCTGCCAAACCAAATCGCAATGGAAAATCAGTAGCGACACAAGCTATGCAAGCTGGGATTGGGAGCAAGTCAAACATCTGGTCAGGCTAGCTCCGGTCTCCGGCTCCAGTGTTCAGCCATAGCCCCGCAAAAAAAATATCGGAAAAACATGACGCTGGACACAAAGAATCCAAGACAACCCACGTCTCGTAGCGCCACGGACGGCTCCGCCTCCGGTTCCAAATTATGCCACATCACATGCCAGATGCGTTCCGCCTGAGTCAAAATTTCCACGCTTTTCTCCCAGTGGGGCACCCTTTTCGGTGAAGGTGGGCCAGAACAGATCGATCTACAAGCGATTCCACTGAGCGGATTTCTGACCAAGGCGATGTGAGAGAAGACCACCGGAACCACAGTTCAGGGTGACTTGTTCTGGTTGGATTCGAAACCAAACACTCTGGAAAATCGACTGTCCCGGCATGTCCCGGCGGTGGGACAGATGTCCCAGCTTGTCCCGGAATGTCCCGGCGGTGGGGTGGATGTCCGGCATGTCCCGGCATCCCGGCGGTGGCCCAGCATGTCCCGGCGTTGGGTCAGGTTGGGGTGGGGTGGGGCTCATGGCGTTCACTTCAACTAGGATTCAAGCGGCTTCAAATTTCATATCCCAATGTTGAAATAAGTGGTATGGGTTGGGATGGGATGGGGCTGGGGTGGGATGGGGCTAATGACGTTCACTTCGACTAGCATTCATGTATCTATATGTATCTAATCTCCCAATGTGGAAGTAAGTGGGATGGGATGGGGGTGACTGGGTGAGCGCCAGCAAAAGTCCAAACACGTGTGCAGGGCCACAAGAGCGCACTCAAAGGCAGATTCTGCAAGTTGGCGCCGTCAAAATACACTTTGAAGATCTTTGAAGAAGTTGAGTCAAAGCACCGTAAATACCAGCGAATTGGCCTGACTCACATTGACACACACCTCTGAGCACCCTGGATCAACACCCGGGCTTTGCCACAAGAACCCAAAATAACGCAAAGTATGGCACACTGGGTCGGCCGTCCAGGTCGTTGAGTGCCAAACGGTCCAAATCCTCAGGCCCAATTTGTCGTCCTGTGGAACGACAGAACTGAACCCCAGAATTTACCGCACAAATTATGGACGCACCACCACCTTCTCCGCACCTGGGCCCTCACTGGACCAGAGATCCAAAAGATCCAAAAGAGTGGGGGCAAAAACATGTGGGAGCAGGGAGGGATCCGCTTTGAGTGAGGGGCATAGCAAAGATTAGCAAAGTACTCAGTTGTAGATGGTTTGTGACCAAATGAGCGAAAATGAGGTTGGTTCCGGCATAATATAGGACACCAACGTCACCTGTCATACCGGAGGGGGATTTTAGAGTTTTGGCACCCTAACAGGGGTTGGCAGAGGAGCATAAGACAGCCTGACGCATGCAGGGATAGATGTGGCACGGCGTATAATATGTGGTATCTTATACAAATCAATTGCATATTTACTATTAAATCAGTTGACGCTCGCTGGGGGCACTCGTCACTCTAGAGTGACTATTTGCCAGCCGTTGGTACCGCTCAGACTGGTACAAGCCCGCTCTCCCCAGGAAGGGCTTTGCCGAGACCATCAAGCAGTGGGGGAAGAGACTCTTCGAGCCGAAGGAAGGCGCGAGTTGGGCTGCTTGATATCCAGCATCAATGCAGGTCAACACTCCCCTGCATCATCTATTACAATCTCCTCCTTGGCGCCATCCATGTGACTAGAAGGCTGAGTGACGGATGCCGCGGCCAAGAAAGCTTCCATCGCCCGGCATTGCCCCGAACCCATCGTCGCGAACCTTGCCGCTCCCACTCGCCGCCAGGTGGATCGTATAAGGTCTTCCAAGATCGCAGCTTCGGCAAAGATCGGGTCGTGGTCTTTGGGTGTGTGGAAGCCCCTGTGGAGCCACTCCAGACACGCCTGGGGACTAGTTGGAGTGGTTAAAAAGCGGTCAATGTAGGCATATACAGTATATATACCTAGCGCTTCCAAGGGGTGCCCAATGGAGACCTGTAAGTAGTGTGGAGATATCCATTGGTGACCCCTTGGAAGCAGCAGGTATATAATGTTATATGTATATTATTCCGTTATATTCCATGGGTATAGAAATGTGAGTATCTCGATCTATAGCTACTCTATAGCTGACCTCCAACTGGTGGAGATCAACAGGGAGTTGTGTCGGGCTGGGGCAAGCTTGTGCTTGAGCACCCGCTGATCCCAGAGATGGAATGGAGGGGCAGCACCGGAAGCATTTGCAATCCTCACTAAATTGTTGAATGCCACTTTCGTGCGTGAAGAAATCATAGGCTCCGACACACTTGAACAAACTCCACTGTTTTGCGGTTTTGTAGATCATGATGTCATGGCACTCCATCTTCAAGCTCTCCCACCTTCAAGCCATCATCAAGATCTTTGCATACCGATCATATACCATGACATCGATTCATGATTTGAAGATGGACATCCACTTCAATCCTGAATCTCTATCGAAGTCGGGATTTCTCCCCGCTGGTCATCGCAGTTAATGGACCCTTCGAGCGCTCTCATCACTGTTTCACAGTTTTCCCAAACCCAGGTCCAGTCTGACCCAGCAGCCGTTCCTGAACACCTCATGTTAGTGATCTCCCAAAACTCCAGCATTTCGGTGAGGAACGACCGGATCCGGGGCTGGTCCGGACTAGGGCGAAAGCCGGACTCCGGGGCGAAGCGCGTTCGGCGATGCCCCGGTGCGCACTCCTCAGGCCCCTTGAGAGATGAGATTCTCATCTACGCCGCACACGATTCCAGGCGTCGGAAAAAACCACCTTCCTCACCTGCCGGATCCACATACCAAACCTCAGAAGGTGATTGGGGACTATTTATGTAGGCGCCATTGTCGGGTCCAATTACCTTCTGAGAAGGTATGTGGATCCATAGGGCTGCGAGGTTGGGGTAGAGGTGAAGTTGGGGTAGAGGTTGGGGTAGAGGTGATCCAAGTGGAATTTAAGCGTTGGATTTGAATCGTCATGTGTATCTGGGGAAAACAGAACCTCCGAGCCGTGGCCGCATGTGGCCGCCGTGGCCCTCCGTGGCGCCTGCTAAGCTTAGTTGGAGCTTCCAAACAACTTGGCCAACTCATCCAAAACCGTCGAAGACTAAAAACACCTTGCCGATCCCTCCTCTAACATGTTTGTGGATACATCTTGATGCATCGATTCTGTTTGTTCTTGGAGTTGGGATCCCAAACCGCTGTTCGTCTTTGGACTAGGCTCCGGCTAGTGCCTTCCAGCCGAAGGCTGAGTCATGTGCCTTTGAAATGTGTTGGAACGGGTGTGCGTTCTTTTTGGGGAAGTTACATGGAACAATCGGAATCATATGGAATTATACATCAACAAAGCAGAGTTTTTCTTAAAACGTACTATGCTTGGCTCATGGATTGACAGGACCCTAAGAGATTCCGCCAAACTCGCTGGTGCATTCCCGTCCGACTCGGCGCGCGCTGACTCGGAGCTTTCTGACCGTTCTTCGCCGAAAGGTACATGCGGGTGCTCTATGAGTGCTATCGGGAGCTTTGGCATGTGCTGGTGTGCCCCCACGACCCCACGGCATCCCATAGATCTACAAACACGAGCGGGGGATGTGCTGAAAGATCATGTTCGCACGTTTTTCCCTCCACGGATGGGCTAGGAATCTGGGATGCTCTGACCACAGATGCTTGTTTGCGACCGCAGGATGTTGTGTTCCAGACGTTGCCTCCTTGCAAGCCAGGTGCAGTCCAAAACACATGATATTCCACCAATTTACCAAACAAAACGGGACAGAGACAGCGACTAGGTGAAGCATGTGTATGCACCATCCGTTTTCAAGCCGTGAAAGGACCAGAAATGGGCGAGAGAGCGTTCCGGACGGAGAGTTATACCTGGATCTTCCAACTGTGCCAATGGTTTGCCGAACTTGGCTGGTTTAGATCGGCGCCCACCTGTTGCACCGTTGGGTCAGAGGCTTATGCCGGTCTGTCGCTGTATGTACATCCTCGGTGTTCTCCAGTCGTCCTCGGTGTGTGGACCCGACTGGCTGGCACCCGGGCACCCGTCGTCCCGCCCGAACCGAAACGAGTTCGGTACGACTGGAGGCCTTTTAGGGGTACTCATGTTGGCCGGGTTTGGGTCAGTGTTGTTGAGCCGCAAAGCACCGCATCAACGCATCAAGTTGAGTTCGTCCAGACTTGAAGAGATGAACTCGCTTCTGGACACCCAGACGTTAAAAGGGGTCAATACATTCCTATAATGAATTTATATACTCGTATTCCAGCCCCCCTGGAGTCCTTGGGTAAAACTTGCCAATTGAATCCTTTGAATCAACTCGACTTCTGTAGCTACGGGTCTGAGAAGCTGGCAAGAGTCTATACCATGTCGACCTGTACCTTCCATTCACCATCTTCGCCTTAGGAGAAGCTGGCATACCAGGATCAATGGAAGCGCTGGGTACAATATCACAGCCATGAGCGGGGACTTTGGTACCGCCTCTCGCACGGAGTGGAGCCAACTTGACCGATGAGTGGGGGCGGTGGATGGTGGATGGAGTCAATGAACCAACACTGATATCGGGGTCGGGTGCCAAGCCCCAGGCCTCTCCAGCCCAATTTCGACTCCTGGTAAATACGACATGTGGAGCATTTGGGCCGGGGCCTGCACTTGCTGACTCGTGCAACTCGTAGGGAATGAGGGAATGAACCACCCCTGTAGATACCTCAGGATCCATTCCCTGTTCCTTACTAAGCACGAGTCAGCTTGTTAGACGGAAAGGTAACTGGAACGGGAGCATTGATCCGGAGAAGGGGTTGACCCGTCTAGACTTCCGACACTTCTCCCTCGCAATCGATTTGTAGGGACAGACTTCCCTGGCAACCGTCCAATCACCCAGCCCAGTCCCATCTTCGGTGTTCTCACAGAGGTAGGGTTGGAGCTTTGTAGGGATTGTTGGATGATTCTGATGAATTGATCACTTCTTTTCTCCAACAGAGACCAATAAAGGTCCAGTCTGACCCAGTTAAAAGGTTCTTTCTCACCGAGCGTCCAACTCGATGTGAACTTGTATGTCCAACTCCACTTCCTGACCTGTATACCCCTATGGATCCACTGCCACCGTACCGACCTGGTTCGGTCATGTTCGGTACGACTGGACCCGACTGGGTGCCTACATCAGACTGTCGAACACTGCTCACCGCTACGCGACCTGGTTCGGTCTGTAGATCCATCGGGTGAGACCCACGACCGATCCGTCAGCCCCACCGACCCACCCCCGGTGACTTCGGTGACCCCCACCCCCCCCAGGGCACCAAGATTACGTGCGGCCCTCTGCAGAAGCGCCCGACGTGACGATGATGCACCATCAGATCATGCAGTGAGAAAAGGAGCGAACGGAGCCAGGTGGAGTCTGGAGTCTCTGGACTTCTGAAAACCTGGAGAGGAGAGGTTGGTACGTTGGGGGATGTATTTGAACCTAGAGGGGATTGTTCAAAGGCTTTGGAAGGACTGGTCCTTTGGTCCTTGGAATGGTTGTGAGGTGATCCTTTTTCGCGTTGACATGGTATGTAGCTGGTAGCTGGTACTGAGCACCAACTGGTCATTCCACGATGGTGTCAACAAAGGGTGGCGATGATTGTGGCACGTGAGGTGAACAAGCAACAAGTGCTTGCTGAATTTGGTCGTTTTTGCAAGAGAGCATGGCCCGTTGGAAGGGACACATCAGCCCAAACCTACAATCCACGGTGTTTTGGCCAACCTGTAATGGGTGCTTTCACTGACTTGGTTCTTTTCAACCCCTGAACATGACCAACCTCCATTTGACCACAAATAAGGGTTTTACCTGGTTTTACTTCTTAATATGTGTAAATCGTGCATACTGCATACCCGACCTGAATCCTTGGGCCCGACCTCTTCGCTTGGGGTCCCGACCTCGCGCAGCGACGGATCAGACGCAGGCTTCGACGGGAATTTCACCCCGCTTCGCAGCACTCATCAGAGCTGCCGCTCGACCTTGCCCCTGAAGAAGCAGGCGGTCTGAGACGGACCGGTGTGACGAAGTTTTTGTTGGGGGCGGGCTTGAGTTTTTTTTTTTGACAAGGATTTCTTGCATCATACTGATACTAGATGATACGAACATGTGTAATATATGTCATGTCCAAAGCACCCAACGATACTAAATCAGCGCATCATACGGGGCGCGCCCGCCCAGGGTTGGCTGCTGGGCCTTGAAGTTGGTGAAAACAGGGGCAGTAGCGGGCCTTGAGTGGGCTGATGGCCCAGGTCGTTTTTGGTTCTTTTGTGGTGAAGGTTGTGTGAAGTTGTTGGTCTCATGCGGCACATGAGTCGCAGATGTTCCACCATGCTTTTGCGCCCACTTCCATGTTGGTTGTACAGATGCGATGTTTCATGGACATTCTGGGTTTTATACTTTGATACAAGCTGAGTGTCGTGAACCTGGAGTTATCGTTCGTTCCTCAGAGAATGGAGTCGTCGCTGATGTTTCTTCGGGTCACGTTGGTCACGTTCCTTCATGTCCCATGTTCGGTTGCCAACTGGAGACTCCAGTACGTTGGAGTAGGAAATGAATTGTGGACGTTTATTCATGTATAACACCCAGACACTCCATGTGTGCCATATGTATGCCTAATGTGTTCCCTTGATTAATCAACCCCCCCCCTCCCCCCCCCCAACTCTTGAGACTCCAGAACAATGTGCTAGAAAACCAATCAATTGATAAATAAATAAGGAATCCTTAGCTAGCTACCTTTGGAGCTACTCTGGCAATACTAAAATGAAAGGAATCATTACTTAGCTATCTCTGGCAATATTAAAAATGAAAGCTGCTTGCTGGACTACCCCCTTTGCTTGAATGTAAAGGAATAGAGGGTAAGTAAAGCAACTCAAAAGGCAAAGAAAAGGAATAAAGATTTAAAGCCTCAAACCTCTAGACATTATTCTAGGGGCCCCCCTAAATAATGTCAGAAAGCTGCTTGCTGGACTACCCCCTTTGCTTAAATGATGTTTGTTGTTTTTCAATGGAAATCTGCATCCAAATTTCAAAAAATATTAGTAAGCCAGAGAGGAACAATAACAATATATAACAATGAAAACATCACAAAAAAAAACTGTCCCTCCAAAAAAAAAAACTTTATTCTGGGTGCCTTTATTAATCAGTGCAGGAAAAAAGAAGTCATTATTCTGGGGGTGTTTATTCATCAGAGGACCACATTACTTTGCCCCCCCAAACCACCCAGTGTAGGTAAATATTCCATACATGGAGTGTTTGGGACATATTGTAATTAACATATTATACAGACTATATATATATATACAGTTATATTATACACATTGGATCCTATAGTGATTTGGCTTGAGAAGACCCTTGGAGACCTCAGGTAAGAGCTTGGAGATCTCAGGAAAGAGCTGGGCCAGCAGGCAGTTGATTCCAACATTTGCATGGGAGCTGCCAGGATTTCGAGTCCTGCCACAAGATTCGGGCCAGTCTGATCGCACAGGAGACAGAGAAGCCCTGCTGCCAGAGTTGTTGGTTGGTTTCCGTTCAAAAGGTAAGAACTCACATATGTTCCATTCTTCTTTGGGGGCCGGTTTGTAACAAAGTTAAAACCATGTTAAAACCAATTCTTGTTCTCTATTTGGATGTCATGATTCATGACCTTCAGATGGGGTCGGAACACACTTCAGCAGATGACCTTCAGCAGATGCATCGGAAGCAACCATCGCCCCTCAAAGAGACAACACTGGATCCATGACCGACCCTCAGGCCGTGTGGAGACGTCAGACGTCTGTTCTCTCCCCAGACCGGTTCCGGTACCAAGCGGACGGTTCGTCAGAAGGGACTGGGGTGGGTTTGGAAGGCACAAAGACCTTCTGAGAAGGTAGGACTGGATCCCTATTACGCCTATAAAGCATATAGGAAAAAGAACCATACGTTTGACATGTATGAACGAACTTCACTGCAGGGTTCTACAACCGATGGGTGCGACCGGTTGGCAGGAGCAAGTGCTCTTGGATTCCTTTCGGACGGTGAACGTCTTCCAAAGCCCTGATGAGTCACCTGGAGAGTCGTTGGTATTTCTTCGACCGGGCGTGGATGGACGCCCGCCCGGGCGTGGGCGTGGGGAGAAGGGATGAGAAGAGACGGGCAGCTTTGGGCGGTTGAGAACACATTGAGACGAGCGCTGTTCCAACGCGAGGGTTTGGTGACAGGGGTGACAGACCGTCCGTGTGACCCTTCAGAAGTGATATGAAGAAGCAACCTGCTGCGGCAAGAATTCTCGAAAAAGATGGACAAAAGAAGGAGGACCAACGAGCTAGAACATGGACATCGGTGAATCATAATACTACATTGGCTGGAAGACGGTCGAACGGTAGAAACCCATAAAAGGATTCACAGAGTTTCGAGCTCCAGGAGCATCGACCTTCACAAATCCACTTCCATCCATGCCGGATGGCAGGTTTTCCATCCATGCCGGATGGCCGTTTGAGCGAATTTTGTGAGAGGGAACGTGATGTTCTGGATTCATCTTTTCTGGAAGGTCGCAGAACTGGGGATGGTTCCTGATAGCTGTTTGACAGACACACCACAAATTCAAGTGGGAGCCGGTATTCCTTCAGAAAGTACCAGGGCCTCCTAAGGAAGGTTGATTGACAGCCCGTAGCCTCTAAGAGCTATTATTAGACACCCCTTAAGGGGCCCCGGTACAAGTCCAAAGACGCAGCCTTACCTCATTGTATGATCAAGTAAAATGAGGACTTTGACCTTTAGGGAATATGTGATATCTACAAACAGGTGGTTCTCCACTTCTCAGGCTTCCAGGTCGAAGTGAATCGTTTTAGGCATGAACATTAGACCTCAAGCGTCTAAGATGTACCCCAAAAGCCTCCAGATCAAAACACAGCTGCTCACCACAGCTTAAAAAAGCAAGCAGACTCGCAACTCGCGACGGTCGAGGTGCTTGGTCTCGGGCGATGACGTCCTGGCTTACCTGAAGGCGCAGCGCACCAGTGGACCAGTGGGGTGGGTGGTTGAAGAGAGTCCGATGTGAAAGCCCAAAGGTGAGGAGGATGTAGACATCATTGTTCAATCAATGGAAGGGTGGCGGTTTAGGGTGGTCTACAGCAGTGCATTTCTATTATTGCCGATGGCCTGTCAAAAGGTTGTGTGCATTTTGGCATGAATCTGCCGGCTCCTAGATCAATATATACTTTTTTGGGTGGTATTTTTTGGAAGTAGCGTGTCTAAACGAAAGCAGATCAACCTTTGCAAGACGTTGTTGTTTGATCCTAGATCCCTTGTTGGCTTGCTGGTCCTGTAGCCCTTTCTTTTGACGTGTTTGACGATTTCCTTGTTTTGGTGGTGGGTCTATCTAGGGTGCAGCCCATGACCAGTAACAGTTGGTGAAACATTATCACTATGTTGAGCAAAGCCTTTGCTAACCATCATGTCACTGGACACTGGTAGTGGGATATACGATATATATATATAATTGACTATATACCCGAGATTACCGAGGTCTCTTCATTCCATTCAGAAAGATCGTCCGAAGCACGAGGCTTGTTTCGATATTCGCTTCGCAAGGCCATGCGAGATCACTTCGGCAGCAAGAAGATCGCATGGTGGGATGACTACTACAAGCTCGAGTGCCCCGTTTGATGTGAAAGATGTGTTGTTTGATCCGTGTATCGGTGTTCAGCTAGAAGATGGTTTCCAGATGTGTCCCGCAAGACAAAATTGGGATAAGAGGCTGGTGATCACAGAAGCCCCCCACCCGAAAAAATAATGTGAAAAAACATCCCGAAACCACTCCAACAACCGAAATACAGGTAGGACTGGAGCTTCATAGGGATGGTTGGATGATGATGCTGTTTTCCCCAATGACGAGAGCCATTCGGCGTCATGAGGGGCCCCTGTTCGGCGTTTCGAAGGCCAGTGCCAAAGCGTCATTGGGTTTCCAGGCAACAAACGCGGAGGACCAGATGACGTGGACCCTGGAACCCACGCTAATCCTTTACTTACAAGAATGGACTACTGTTCCCAGATGCTCCATGTATGGAATATATGCCGATCAGTTGGGGTGGTTTGAGGGGTCAATGTAGGCATATATGGCATACATGGAGCGTTTGGGTAATGGATTACTGTTAGTGGATGCCCTGGAACCCACTAACTAGGACTATGTAGGCTTGGAACCCCCCGTAACTTTGGGCATGGTTGCGTGGATGGCACCCTTTGGTTCGTTGAACGAGGATTTCCATGATCTTCCAAACGTGGCGATTTCGGGGCCATGCCATCCAACGTAACCATCTGAGTTCCAACGAGCGTCCACTCTTGGAATCGTCATGGCATAGAGACCCCTGAGAACGGATGACCTGTGTTCTCTACAAACAGATGGTGAACTCCACGGCCACAATGGATTCCAGGGAGTCTATCTACATTGGAGTGGTTTGAGTGTTTGAGGCTTCAATGTAGACATACATTTCAGTCCCATTCACTTTAGGCCAGTAGGAAGTGTGTGTCCCACACGGTCAAGTGGCAGGCCTCCGGGAAGCACCGGGAAGATCAGTTGTCCAGGTCATTGAGCGTGCTGGTTCTTGATATCCAAACAATCCATGATCCACCACCACCCAGTTAGATGGTCACAAAGGCCTATCAACCACCCGACCTGGCTGGTGCCGGAGGACATCTTCGGACATCTTAGGACTGCTTTAGGGGACAACGCAGGCGGCAAATCGATTCCATACATGGGTTGTTGGGGGGCGACTGGGTTCCAACTACTTCCCTTTCTATTGGGTGGTGCCATGGTTGGAGCCCAGGCCAGGTATGGTCATGGTACACTCCCTGAAATCATGGAAGTGGAAAGGGGCCCCTTGGAAGACCATTTCCCTCTTCGAACAGGTGGTCTTCCCCTTCCCAGACTATTCCATATGATTTCAGGGAGTGTATATGGTAGTCGTCTTTGATTGCTCACGAAGTATCCGGAGTGGCATGGCGCGATGGGCCAAACATAGGAATCTCAGCACCTGGAGAGTAGTCCAAGTATACATCAGTTTGTTGGGTATTTTGAGAGGCTAGATCTGGTTCCAGGAGACCAAAGCCACTTTGCGAATATGTCACCATGCCATGCATCTCAAGTATTTCAGCATGTTCATGCCAGCTCCCCCCCTCAGTTTATATCTGGTAAATCAAAGTTAACCTTTTTTCACCTGTGGGGTTTGGGTGGGGAAACCAATTCCCCCAGAAAGGTGAAAAGGTTCTCCACTTTTCCTGGCAATCTCCATCCTTTCCATCAACCTAGGAACATCACGCACAACATCACCAAGTGGAACTGCACCGACATGGAGGCTGCCGCACGTGTCGCCACCGGCCATGCGACCTGTGCTTCGAAGCACCCCATCGTGACCTGTGCTGATGACGTTGTGATCGCTCACTGGACATTGTTGACAAATGATGTAGAGAACACTGCCGAAAGACTTGGTCGAAGGGCTCTTACTAAAGGCACTTGGTCTGACATATCTACGACTTCATTTGCCAGAGTCTAGCTCAGGCTTTAAGCACTTGTAAAAATCTTGCAAAGGCTCTAGCACTTGTAAGAGTTGTGCTCAGGCTTCAGCACTCTTACAGTCAGGCTTTAGCACTTGTAAGAGTCTAGCACTTGCAAGAGACTTAATCAAGTTAGATTTTAGCCGTTGCAAGAGACTTGACCAAGTTTTAGCATTTGCAAGAGACTTGACCAAGCTTTTGTCTCGACATCTCGAATCTTTCAGTTATCTTTAAAGCCGAGGCGGACCAAGCGAGAGATCGCGAGAAGCAACCCTCTCGCAGGATCCGGCCTGTCGAGTGCCCAAACGGGGTGAAAATGCGAATTCTCGCTGGGGAGCCGGATGAGTGTCTATGCGGCGCTGGGTGTGACATGGTTGTATAGTAGTGTGTGCCACACCGTGTGGGTTAAGTCCGTTTGTGATGTCGCTATGCCATGCGGCTAGGACGTGCGCCCTCGGCTTTTGTGTGTTTGAGTCCGTTCCACTGCGCTCGGCGGATGAGTGGCGGTGTATACGAGGCTGGGTGTGACATGGTTGTATGTAGTGTGTCGCACACCGTATGGAGAGTATTCTCTTTTTTGATGTCGCTGTGCCACGCGGCTTTGCGCGGCGCCGGATCTTGCCGGCGCTGGCGGAATTCTCTCTCAGGATCCGGCGCGTTCAGTGCCGAAGCAAAAGGTGAAGGAACACAAACCTTTATGCGCGCTGGGTTGCTTGGCGATGTCACAAAGCAAATGAGCGGCTAAAGCATCTTCGTGTGCTCAGAAAAGAGAACTCTGAACAACTATTCTTGTGCACGCTTTGCTTAAAACTTTCGAGCCATCAGGGGGTCTAGTTTTTACGAGCTAGAATCAGGTCGGATCATGTCCATTGAGCCAATGCCATGCCAATGAAACAGTCTAACAGTGCTTGGCTTGATTCTTTTTCCGGCCGTGGCAACCACATCCAGAGTGTATACAACTTGCGTTTCATCAACACACATGGACTCACATGGATCGAATGATCTAATCGTACTGCATCTCCCCGAATGGCCGGGGGACGAAGTGCCATGGGGGTCCCGAGAAACGGTCCCGAGAAACACGCGAGACGAAAGGTGGAGTACTACCAGCAGATGACGCTGTGCGAGCAGAAGCAGGAAAAGTTGGAGCAGATCGCCTGTGAGGTTCACGAAAGGAGCGGGTCGTCTTCGGAGTCGTGGCCGCATCGTGATTGGAAGGGTGGGAGAGGGTGGGAGAAGGTGGGAGGGATGCGTGGAAGGGATGGAAGGGGACTGGGGGTTTGTGATGTTAAACAACCCTCCCTCTTGTTAACGAAATTGGTAGGGGCAGGGTGATGAATATAAACAGTGGAGAAGAACTGGGAGGCAAACAGAGATTCGGTTCAACACCAGGCAGGAGTCAGGTACTGAAAAAATCTCAGTCAGTCAGCTAGCCGCAACAGGGGTGATGATATCCCAGAGACTTCTCTCCATGCGAAAAGGAACTTCACCCAAGGTAGGGGTTCCACGTTTTGAAGGTTTTTCAATGGGTAGGTTTGGAGAGGTAAAGTATCTAGTAGTCAACTATGTTCTTCTCAGGAGCCAGTTGGAGCCCTAGGGGTTATTGAGGGAAGCAATCATGCGCCATGAATACCATGGTGTTGAGCTCCAAGCTGGTGCAGATCGGCTGGTTTTCTTGACAGACGGTCTTCTGCGTCCAGGTGAGAAATCTGCATTTAGTGGCCAGACGTGGCCACTTGAGGCCACGATTTGGGGATTGACCTGACCATACCTTACTCTAGCGACCCTATAGCCTTCAGTTCCCAGAGTTTAGTTCACCAGATGTTGTAGTTTCCAATCCGCAGTATAAAACATATCGTAAAGCAAATGGGTTGTTTCGGGTACAGACCCATAGGTGTTCAATGGAGGGCCTGGAATCCAATGGCCTATGCCATACATACTCCAGCTATAGGGTCTCATGTTGTCTCTGAGCCTCTTTGGGGCTGCTTGGACAAACTCCGTTGTCGAAACATGCGCATCGCTGCCAGCCGTTGGCAGGACCAACGAGTCTTGCACCACGATGCCGGCATGCCGGGGGGCCCGGGGTTCGGGATAACCGGGAACCCAAAGGTAAATACGCATACCATGCTGAACGGGGACCTGCAGGTTTGATAGCAGGGACTCAAATCATGGTTACTAGGAACAATTATGAAATACCCACTATATATAAAAGGGTTTGTAAATGCATTTGTATTTGTGTAAAATAAAAGCATGTGGGGTTTGTGCCTGGCGACGTGGAACATGTCACTTAGCTAAGATGGGAACCCGGTCGAATCTTTTTATAAACAGAGCTGCCTTGTGATGGAGATTGTTAACAAACGAAAAGGAAACAGTGGTGAGTGGTGATTAATGATGTGCATTTTGGTGATTACCGTGTTGGTGTGCAGTGCAGGACAATTGTGTTTATAGAGCGCAAGGTGTAGAAGGACATGGTTCTGGGACAGGCAAATTTCCCCTAGGGCTCCCAACTATATACCTTCTGAGAAGATGGTTGGGGTGGTGGGGGTGCAACCACCTTCTGAGGATATGGTTGGAACACATCACTACCGGCAAACAAACAATAATAAAGCAAACAAATCACGATCTTGTCGTCAGTGAACAGCAAGCATCCGGGATCCTTTGGGGGAGCATTGTTTTGTGAATGAAGGAACTTGTTTATACAATGTTTTTTGGTTCAGCCTGGCAGTTCTGATAGAATCTGATACGACGCATTTTAACGCAGAAACATCTTATAAACGGGTGGGGGCTGGACCTTCGTTGGACAACCCAGATGTAGTCAAGTCCAATTTCACGGCTAAAGCTCCCATCATTCTGTTAAATTTACTTTAGTTAGAATGATCCCGACCAAGACATTTCAATCATTTGCTTTCATGCCATGGTGGGGAGCATGTTGCCATGGTTGGGTTTTGTGGTTTTCAATGTTGCTTGTGGGTCTTCGGGTTGGGGTTGTTGTTTTAGTGTTGGGGATTTCACGTCGGAGTGTCACCAGGGTCTACAGCTGGCATTCTATCCAAAAAATGTCACACACACAGAGACACAGACAGAGGTATATATATAATATGGTGTTGTTGTTGTTGTTGTTTGGAAGAAGGGTGAGGCCGAGCCTGCGGCTGCTTTGCAACTGCTCCAGGAGCTGGTGTAGAGGAAAGCGAAAGGCCTCAGAAGAGGCAGAGGAAGAGTGCCCTAGGCGAATCTGCAGACGAAAGTGGGAAAAAGAAGGGTATAACCCGCCTCATCTCTGCCCCAAATCTTGCCGGTGATGGTGGAGGAGACGATGACCCCGAGGAAGACGGAGAAGGATCAGCAGCAGAGCCGGCACCAAGATCACCCACGGCGGGGAAGAACGCGCAGCCACCCTTATCCAGCAGAATCACGGCGCGGTGTTTCACCACAACGGCCGCTGTTGGGTCATACATCCTCACAATGCAATTGTACGCGGCCTCGCATGGTCCGCCAATGCCACACCACCGGGCATCTAACTTCTTTAGGAGTTTGGCCTTGGGGGTGCAGATTCAGATTTCTCAGTGCTATTAGACCTTTCGGCCGTGGAAGCAGTTATTGACATCGTGGAAGCATCAATGTCAGTAGCTGCAGCGGGTGCGCTTCTGGTTGGATCAGCCATTCTTTCTGGCCTCTCCACGGACGAACTATTGCTTGTTTCATCAAATCAGCGTGGCATCCCCAAAGGCAAAGGTTTCCTCTCAGCCGGAAACCACCTGACAGCATCGGCTGTAGAGGAGAATTCCCGCTTCGATAAGGCAATGAGTCTGAAAGACGATGAGTCGAAGGCTGCAATCGCAAAGCTAGTATGCTCGGCACCAGACCTGAGTAAGCAAGGTGCAAACTCATTGTTCTATGAGGTACTGGCACTCACTGAATTCGTCGCAATGCGTCTACCAATCATTGCTCTCTCACACTTTCAGGGCCCTGACGGGGAGTACAAGCTTTTTCCAGACAAGGCCTGAACAGAATAGGCCTGACGGCGCGGCACCGAGAGCACCCACTGCGATCTGACGCTTGCTGTTGAGGTCCGGTAGAGTCCACTAAGCGCTTGCTGTTCACTGCGATTTGGCCCTTGCTGAGGTCCGGTAGTGTCCACTGTGCTCTTGGGAGCATGAGTAGAGGAGTTGCGACACCTCTAATAATCTCACAACCCTCATCTGGCAGGTGGGGAAGACTTCCATGCTTAAGTTTACAAATCATATGCCTCAAAGATACATTGCTGTATGTTATAAACAGGTTGGCTTTAGCATGTCATAGTGGTTTCATCCTGTTCCTACCCGCATCAATCACGATATGATCCCCGGTCTCATGTAAGGAAAAGAGATGAAATCAAAGTTGCCAATCTCGTGGTTCTCACACCACTTCCACACAAGTGACTCTTGATAGTGATGCTGATGTTCCTCTCAAAAGTTTCTATCAATGTGCCAAGCCTTCATGCCTCTTAAATGTACTGCCATACATGATGTTCATCACTGTGTTCATCCTACAAATTGTTTTCGGAGATGTCGTATCATTAACTTTGACACTTTGGTACATGCTGATACCCCTCGAAGCATAAGTGTCAGATTCCAAACTCATATGTGAGTAGTTTGTAAGGCGATTATAAAAGACAAGTATACAACCTTTCAACCGCACAAAACACATAGTCTGCAGTACAAAAACCTTTGCTGTGAGTACTCAATAACATGTGTTCGCTTCCATAGTGGCATGCAACACACACTAACGAAACATGAAGTTTACATTTTCAAGTGTCAAAACACATGACATGTATCCACCATGCAAGACACACGTATCTGATCAGAACATAAATACAATTACATCTGAAAAACATAGAATGCATCACTCTTGCAAAATGCATTCATCGCTACAATATATTACAATGAGCGTAGGGCGCCACCGCATGAGGCGCAAGAACATCCTAGCTCCACAGCACATATGGACACCTCTATCTAAAAACCTGCAACTAGTCCAGACCCGCACACATGCTGGACACATGATCCTGAATATTCTGTGCGGTTCTGCATCCCATTGCTGATTGCTGGTGGCTGAGTATGAGTTCAAGGGGGAAGGTCCTGGCGCGCATGTAGTTTTGGCACGACCTCAATGACCATAAGCTGGCGATGGGTGGAGGTGCACCACATCAATGGGAACCCTACTTGGAGGCCTTGAGAAGTCAGGAGCGCGGAAGATTGGAGGTTGGCAGGATCAGGGACCATCAACTTTGGGTATAGGAGGTACAGAGTCTGGGTTTGTCTTGGGCAGTCTTGCTTTGGGGCTGGTCTGGACTTGTCTTGGGCTGTTTTTGGGCTGTCTTGGGTCAGGTATTGGCTCTCTTTGGGTCTTGGATTGTGTTGGGTCTACCTTTGGCGCTGTCTTGGGTTTCTTGGGTCTGTGTTGTGGCTGTCTTGGGCTGTCCTGGGCTGGTATTGCGTGTTTTGAGGCTGTTTGAGGGCTGTTTTGGGTGGTTTTGGCTTTGGTTTGGTGTGTTGGGGCTGGTCTTTGGGTCGGGTCTTGGGCCATCTTGGGGCTGTATTTGGGTGTCTTGGGTCGTGGGGCTGCCGGTCGAGCCTTGGGCTGTGTCTTGGGGCTGGTGTTGGTCATGGGGCTGCCTAGGACACGGGATAGCCTCACGCAACACGTTGCTGCTAAGCGGGAGGCCCCTGCACGCCGAGTTCGGGAATTCGTGTTGCTATGCGCTGAACCAAAAGGACGTGTGCACAAATGGGCTGTTGTAATAACCTCGTGCTCAGCGGTTTAGTATTGGCATGCACCTCAACACTACTAATGCATTCCTACCCCAGAAAACGATAAGAGTAAAAAACGACAACAATGATTATACCTGCACATTCAGAACAAAAAGCTCCTAGGGGCTCCTGGCCTTACTACTAGGAACAAGAAGCTGCTAGGGACTCCTGGCCTTACTTCTAGGAACAAGAAGCTACTAGGGACTCCTGGCCTTGCTACTGAGAACAATAACAAAAAACTACTAGGGACTCCTTGCCTTACTACAAAGCAACATCGCTACCAGGAACAAGAAACTCTTAGGGGCTCCTGGCCTTACTACTAGGAACTGAATGGGCTGTTTGGTCCATATGCTGCAGCTGTTTACATGAACCACGAAAATGGCAACCTGCAGAGGTGTCCGGAACGATAACGAAACGATAACGAAAACGATAAGGAAATGTAGCAAAAAGCAGCCCTGGTGGGCAAGTACCCATTTGACTGTTTTCATTAGACCTTTTGAAGGGCAGAAGTGTGCGATGTGGTAGTCTTGTTTAGCTGTCTATATCTGATCTTTGCTGCTGCCACGTTTTTACCACCAAAGACGGTGTACGCCTTGGTACAGGCAGTGCTACGGGATCCTGAAGTAGGACCATGTAGACCACCAAAGGACATCTTTTTCTTTGTGATCTTGCAAAGAAAACGCTTTCACCTGAGAAAACGATAAGAGTAGAAAAACGATAGCATGGCTTCGAGGTATTGCAAAAGACACGTGTTTTTTCAACACCCCGCAAATGAACGTGAAAATGACAAGTCTATCTATCTATATATATATATCAGTTTCCTTTGAATTGTTACGTTTCTTGTCCAGAAACCTCACTCTTCGCTGTGAGGTTTCGAGGGGAAGTGGGCCACGTACCTCACCGAAGTGGAGTCGGCCAACACCACCGTGCAGGAGATGACGTGTTGACGCCGAAGTGTCCGGTGTTGGTGTGGATGTGCCGTAAAGATGGAGAAAAGGGTATGGGAGGCTGTTCATCATGGACCCAGTGACCTAAGTCGGATGTTAACCTCGTTGGATGCTCACAGGGGAATTTTCCATTGTTTGCGATCTCCGGTTCTTATTGTATAAAATCCCTTTTGCGTGTGAAGACTGCATCAAGATCAGTATGTTTGGATCACTCAACCTGATGATGGGGTTGTCAAATTCAATTCCGTAATTGTTGAAGTGGTTTTTCACCCTCTTCATGAAGTTCGGTGGGCCATGTGTCGAGTATTGAACACACAATTTTTTCCATGACCTACAGACGGGGAGCGTTGATGGACACCCAGCCCTTCGAGGTTTGATTTTGTGTGTTTGTTAGGATTCATGGAATTTCCGATATGGGTCCACAACCATCCACAAACCAATATAGGTGTTATACACCCTCCCTTTTCATGCACCAGTGAACTTGCGGTTCCAAAACTGCCTTCCTGTTGTTTTGTCCCCGTGTGGTGTTTTTTCTTCGATAAACTGGGCGTGGCCAGGACTTGAAGTATGAATACCGAGCCATCAAGCGTGTCTGGGCGAATCCTGGGGGGAGGTTCCTCCACCTCCACCGCTGTCTCGCGACAGCGAGGGGAAAACCGGGAGGTCACCCCGCAGGGAGATGGGAGATCCGACTGATAGGACCTGACTGGAGTACCAGACCCTATAGGGCTCCAAGTACCTCCCCAGAAGGTGTTTGGACCCTCCAAACCCACCCCAAACACCTTGGAAAAGAAGGTCCTTGGAGCCCTAGGGAGATGGTTTTCTCTTCACAGCTTGGTGTTTTTTTGGCACATCAAATGGCGCTTGTAGATTCACGGAGCCGTCTTGTTTAATGAATCCTGTTGGATATAGTACCTGGTATATTCTCCTGGAAAGCCAAATGCCCAAAATGTTTTGGTCTTTGTGATGAGGAAACACAAAACGTGTGGTTTTGTTGTCCAATTGCTGGTTGCACCAGAATGACCCAAAAAGATGGTCAAATCAAAAGAGTATGGCAGGCAAGCCTACCCGTAGCAAAACGGTATGTTTTCAACATGTTGTTGAACAGAACATGTAAAAAAACGTAGCAACTCTCACACAAGTGGCTCCAGATATAGTAATCAAAACCGTAACAACTGAACACAGGGTAAAGGCCATTTGACCCAAAAAAGGTATGACTTGGTTTTCCAGCCTAGTAAATCCTGGTGTTACCTGTTGCCTCGTGGTGCCTGTATTCCTTCCAAAGAAGGAGTGAAATCATCGACCAAACCAGGCTTTTGGCCTGGTCCTCCTAGGTATCTTGTGCCTCGTGGACGCTTTTACAGCTGACGACCTGGAAGCCAAGATCGAAGAGTGCATGAACCTTAGGCTCCTATCGCGGCTCCGCGCTCAAACCCAAACGTCGCGTCCACCGCGGAGGACACCTGTCCTGATCGGCTCCATGAGACTGCCATAGACACCTAGGTTTAAACATATTGAAGGTTCCTAAGTCTGTGACCCAAACAGGAGGCTTATAAAGTGACCGAAGCAACCAGGTGATCAAGTTCGGTCACTTTGAAGAACCATGGACTATACTTGTTTCTATTTCACCACGAACACCCGCGGACGGACCGTCTCTCGGTTCCAACCACCGGCGGACAGATACAGCGCCACTGCGGTGAAGAGTCCCTGCGCCTCGGTGGGCGGTGTGGCGGTGGGTCTGCGATGGAGCGGAAGGTCTCCAGGACACGAGCACTGGGTGGGAGAGTGATGAGATAGGGCATTGGAACCGAAACCATTTTTGAGCGCTTGGAGGTTGAGAGAGTGATTGGAGATGTTCCAGTGGACGTAGTGACAAAAGAAAGCGTTTTTATTTTCAGGCGACAGATGATTTCCTGGTTCTTCCATTCGCGACCACTCCAATAAGGTCATGAATGAACTGAAGAAGCTGGCCGATCGACCAGATCGGTCACTGGATGGGACCCCACAAAGGTCATGAAGTGAAGAAGCTGGTAGCTTCGATACTTCCAACTACTCCAACTACTTCCTTTTCGTTGGGGTATGTTTGGGGTGAATGCCAGGAGGGGTTGTCCCTACCTTCTGAGGATGTGGGACAGGATCCCTGGGGAATGTATAGGAAAGATGAGAGTGTTCGAGAAGTTCGAAGAACAGATGCAATAAATAAAGGACATGGATCACACATGGTCACACAACTGACATGATCAACGAAGAACCACAGAATCAATTAATTATAGCAATCATTACATCGTCATGTCACATATTGGTTGCTTCAAGTTCCATGAGAAGAAAACACTCACGTGTGTGAGAGCAAACCAGTCAATCAACCCTCCCATAGTGTACCAGACCTGCACGCCGAGTTCGGCCTTCGTTCTTTGCGGTCAGGGTCCCAAAACCTGGTCCGGGTCCAAAACCAGAGAGTTCGGCCTTCGTCTTTTTCAGCCAACGGTGACACGGTGACACGGAGGTCGGTTGACCGGTCCGAGCGTCCGAGCGTCCTTGGGGACACCGCACAACGCTCCATTGTCCCATGGAAAGTGAGGATGGCAGAATTAACATGCACAGAATCATCGAGGTGTGTACTTTAAGACCAAAAAATATTCAGAACACCTATAGTGGGTATGTTTATGTGTGTTTGCTACATGGGTTGATCGTTTTACCCCTAGTGTCACAGAGGTGGGTCTCGTTGTTTGCTCATTTGAAGAGAAAGCAAGCCAATTCCGAACGACGGTCATTCTGCCGCCGTTTTGGAAGAACGGCCGCAATGAGTGACGCTGAAAATCCCAAAACGAATCAGGTGAGGCAGAAGATCAATTTACACCCTAGGGATCCAGTCGTACCCCCTCAAAAGGTACTTGGCCCCTCCAAACCCACCCCAAACACCTTCTCAGAGGGTACTTGGATCCTTAGGGACATAGTAATTGTCACCAAAGTTTCAGCTGAGCAGTGGAAGGAGCATTCTTCAGGCACAAGGGGCTTGTGCAAGCTTTTGGGAGCATGTGAGTTGGAGAATAGCCCAGGAGCTTCATTTCATTTCGTCAACCCCACCCTATTTCAATGGTGTCACGGAAACACAGCCCGGACGCTCCATGTAGGGGTCGTCCATTCTGCCCCATTCATCAACCACCCCGGTCTGCCGTTTCTGAGGAGTATGGCGCCAGTCATGGCACCTCTTCCAATGACCAAACTATGGAACGATCCTGGTTCTTCAGTGCGTGACCGAACTTGATCACCTGGTTGGTTCGGTCACTCCTTCGCCTCCAACAGGGTCATATAGGAACCGGTCACCAACGGTCACGAACTCAAGAAGCTGGGACCTTGTGACCTTCCTGAAATCGAGGAATCGGTTCAGCTGGTCAACCAGGGGGTCCCCCAAGAGTCCCATCCACCGCGCTGGCCGAACTCAGCTGCACATGACTCTGGTGGAAAGCCCGGCCGAGCGGAATGGCTGAGGTGTGGACCATCATGCGAGTGTGGAGAAGCCAGCGTACATTACTCCAGAGATTTGTCACACAGGACCACATGGAAGTACCACTGGAGTCAAGGGATTTTGGACGTCCAGCGCCAAACTGGGTTTCTGGGGATCCATGTGCAGGATTCTTCCTCATCAACAGGACCATGAGCATCCGCTCAAAAACTCTGATTTCAAGATAATGTTCAAAACTTCACAAACCCTCCCTCCAACAAACAGGGTTTTCGTGGATGGCTCCATCCTCCGGTTGTAGAGGATTTCATGGTTTTCCCAGGGATCCTGCCATCCACTTCCATAAGGATGTCAGAGGGAAGGTTTATAGACAAACCGTAACGCCCCAGAACCGCCAACGACTTACAAATGCTTCTGTTTTTTTTTCGATTCCTTTTTGGACATGCAGTGACACCCTCCAAGTCCAGTCGACTCAGCAAAACCTCAGCAAAACCTCCTGAAATTCGGTCCAGTTCACAGACTATGACAGACTTCAGATCTTCATGAGCCCTAGGGATCCAAGTACCCCCTCAAAAGGTACTTGGCCCCTCCAAACCCACCCCAAACACCTTCTCAGAGGGTACTTGGATCCTTAGGGGAGGTCAGTTCCCAACGTTTCTCAGGACATGTTAAGACGACGGAGACCCCCCCAGTCGTCGGGTGAAACAGTGCGAACGCTGCTCGGTCGTGCTACGACCGACTTCCGATCCTAGTCAGGCTCACCGGTTTTAGAGGTCCGAGTCAGTGGCATTGATGCATATAAAATATTAATATCAATTCCATTCCAGTCGAATTTTGTTGGGAGTGTGTTGGGATTCGTTGTTGATCACCTTCCTTCATACCTCCCGTCCTGATAGAGATACACAGCTCGTCCTCCGTCCTCAGTGGGAAACTCCCTTCAACCCGGCGAAGTCGCCTCGGTGATGACGAAGTCGATCGGGCGGCGGACCTGAGAAGGGACCCCGAGAATAAGGGATGGAAGACGGGTATCGGCGGAGCTCGTTTTGTACCGTAGATGTTCCAAGTTGTGCAACATGTTTGTGTTTGTTTCTTCAATCCCTTTTCATCAACCAGCCACGTGTTGATCACTTTGCATCGTTGGAAGGCCTAGGCATTTTCGACTAGCCCTAAGAAGTCCAGTCGACTAGATTTAAAACCATGATCTTTCAGTGACTGCCAAAAGGATGGAACCCATTTAACTGGTGCATCCCATCTCGTTTTGGGACCTGCGTCTCTCCTTCGTTGGCCGTTCGATCCCCGACCCGGAGCTTGTGAGAGTAGACCGAAGATGGCCATGAGGTCGGTGGAACCGACCGGGTTAAGAAGAGTTTATTGGTTGTTATAGTATGTTGTATGTGGTGTTTACCATTGTGTCCAGATTTTGTTTTAAACTTTTTGTCCTTTTTGGTGGTTGTTGAGAATCCTTGGGCCCTGGACTCGCGAAGCTCTTCGCTTAGAATGGAACAGCACCCAGACACTTTATATATGGAATATAATTCGGAATATATATATAATATACACATTGACCCCTGAAACCACTCCAACGTAAACTTGATGTGGTTCTGTACTTTGTATGTGCGTTTAAGTTTTTTTCCCAGTGGAGATGCAACTCATGACTGAACCTGAGAGCTCCTTGGTTTTAGATACACTCCCTCGAAGAATCATGGCCCCAAAACCAAGGCTTGAAAGATGATGTTCCCATTTCTATATAGGTACAACCAAAGGTGCAGGTGCCCGAGACAGCAGGTTTCGCCGCTGTGCTGCACATTCCAGATTCAAGGTCACCCATTGCTGTGAGCATTTGTGGCTCAAACCCTGCAAACGATTTTTTTTCTCGACGTTCTTGGAACACGGTCAGTGCCTTTCCCTGTACGCGCCTCGGAGACGTTTTCAAAGCTGGTTTCGGGCACCACTGCATCCCAGATGTTTGAAATCGGTCTCATGTTGCTTTTGTGAACCTCTCATGCAAATTCTACTGATTCTACTGAGGTTGTGAGAGTCCGGTTCACCTGGGTTGTTGCAGTTCAGCCCAACAAACTGGGTTGCAAATCGGTGTCCAGGTATAGAAGGAAAGGCCTTGGGTATTTCTTGAGGCTAGCCAAACTGGGGATGCTCCTGCACCCTTGGCGAATCGTTCCGAGGACATGTCCATGCCATTCCTTTGCATCGTTTTTGGATGTTTTGGGGGATGCCAAACTTTTCAGGGTGCCGCTGTATTGTGGAGCTTGGTGCTGAGGCAAAGACACTCAATTCTCGCACAGACCATGACAGTGAACACCGAGATCTCCCATGCCTTGTCGACCATCCAAGATGCCTCTTGAGCGGGACGGGAATGGCGGGCCACGGACGAAGGCCTTACTACACCCCAGGAATGGCCAGCAGCGGTTTTTGTAGCGTTTCAACTCAAAGCCTACACACAACCGGATCGGCAGATTTAACTACATTGAGGAGTGGTTGAAACGGGGGTCCAGGGGGACGCGTCTCCATACATGGAGTGTTTGGGAAACGTGGCCTGGCTTTAGACCTCGGTGGCAGGGCCGGGGAGTCGATTGGCATCGAAGGTCACGTCGCAGCGAGCATGTTCCTCCTACCAGCAGTTTCAAAAGCTTATATATATAATATATACCTATACCCATAGGCTTCCAAGCACATGTTAAAAATAGGCTTGAACCCATTTATATGATATATATATATATATCAGACATGACCTCTGTTTTGATAGGAAAAGACAATGTTTTGGATCCAAAACAGGGGTCATGTCCAGGTTCTAGGTATATGTTTTCTTTGTCCCATCCAGTGAGTGGATGTGACAGGGGTACCCCAGTTCGGCACCTCTATCATCCTCTATCCTCCAAGTTCGGCACCCCTATAAGAAGCTGCTGATAGGATGATTACAACGCCAAGTAAAGCCGAGCAGTTCGATGGATTTTGGAGGGATCTGATTCTGAGCTCTTGAAAAAAGACTCCAACATCTCACTTTGCCAAGCAACGACTTATACACACCCCTAGAGGGTGTTTCGACTTAGTCTCGCTTGTATGGCAGCTTGGATCAGGACCCCTGCCAGCATAGCAGGACTGTCTTCACTGCTCACCAGGCCTTTTTGGGGCACCCCAACCAGGTAAGCTCTTGCATGTGCACGGATCCAGCGGAAAGCCTCTCTAGACCCTAAACCCTAAACCTTCGACGTCGCCCAGCTTTTGGAGACCGAACAACGCAGCTCACGTTCGGTCAGCACCTCTCCTTGCTCATCGCGGCAGCCCGAGGTTCTCGGCAACCTCAGACGTTTGCAGACCACGGATTTGAGTGGCTGCCCCGACGTGGGCAAGGCGCGTGTCGCGTACCCGGGGGTCGTCCCAACGTAACTCGGGGTGGGCGCTTTTGTCTTCTTTTGCGCAGCGAGCTATATGGATCTCGGTTAAGGATTGCAGTCCCCTGCGTTTCAGCGTTGGAGGTTGATGATTGTCAGGGTCAGGCGGTTTTGCTCTTGGCGTGGCTAGTCATGGCACATCTCGATCGAAAGAGATGTTCCGCCGCGGAACACGGCGCAGTTCGACCGTTTTGGTGCGGAAAGCTGTGTCAGAGAGACGAATAGAGATAAAACATGCTAAGGATCTTCAAAGTGGCTTGCCTCTTGAGATCCCATGAGATCCCAGGATGAGGTCGCGAACAGGCCTTTTTATTAGGTCACAGAGTACAGAGGCTCCAGGCTGAGGTCGCTTTGCAGGTCGGAGATATGAACTACTCAATCCCTTGAGACTCTACTGCACTTCATCATTTCATGGGTCCCTCCTTCCCCCAAATCCTCGCCCATCCGGACTCCCTCGCCGCGACTCTCCCTCGCCGCCCATGGATGCGCCTTCTCGACTCCCTCGAGTCGAAAACAGGTGGACCTTGAGGATGCGCACAACATTGCGCAGATCATCCAGGGCGCGGCCTTCATCTTCTTGGTGCCTGGCTGAGCATTTGCGCGACCGTCAACGACCACGACGTGTCGAGATGCCGATGGACCATGATCGACCTGGAAAGACCACCAGAAAGACACCACATAGCTGAGACAGGGAATGCCAGTCCCAGTCCCAGGTCGTAACTTGGTCTTTGGGTTTGCTTTCGGGCGCGCGTTTGGCGCACAATTGGGGAGAGGTCGTCAAGGCTTGGGGAAGGGGATAGGACAGGCTTGAGGAGAATCTGATGGGGAGAGGACGGGTCGACGGATGACATGCACCCAATGGGTCATTTAGTTGAAATTGAAATGATGTTCAACAAGAGGCTAGTAGGTTGGAATCGCTACTAGGGTGGAGGCCATTACTACTATAGTAATGAGAAGCTGATCTGCCAGCATCTTTGGACCGTGAATAGGTTGCGCTGGAAGAGCAGAGCTCAACTTGTTAGACGCTTCCTCCTCGAATTCCTCAGAGATGTTCCTTGGACTGTGAAATCAAAGCATTTGTTAGATCAACATGTTACAACCCTTTGGCCCTGCGAAGTGACTAAGACGGTCGACCGCAGCAAGTACGTCCTTTTCCAGCAGCCTTTTTCAGCACTCGCAGGCGATGTGGTTGATTTTCGCCAACAACTCCAAAGTAGCAGTGGCCCAAAAGGCACCCTTGGAGCAGCGTCATGCGGTTTGCGCCTCTCGGCAGGGACCTCCATTTCACCGTGGGTATGTATTAATTGTAGAATACACGGTGACCTACCAACGACCCCCATGGAAGAAAGAATATCATAGTATTGACAAAAGCATACAGTATCTCCCTATTCAAATACACGATATTACAGTTGCACCCATATGTAGATATCCCAGACACATGCGGGGGACTTCAATAGACTTATAACTTGTAATAGACCCACACAACACCCCGAAACTACTAGCCCCATATGTTGTAGGTACATGTTCCATGCATGGCAGTGTCAAGACATTGTAGACGGATGTAGAAGATGCAACTTATGTCAACTTATCAATCAAACCACGTTTTTGAGGCATGTGCTTGACATGCTCGCAATCGACCTTGACCCTGTGTTTGACCCATTTACAACGCGTTTTTGTCAGTAAGCTTTCCTTACAGGTGTCATGGATTTTCGGACTGGAGGGTCGCGGTGGATCGCACTAACACCTAATGTTTGTTCGATGAGTCCGAGGGTCCATAATGTGAACCACCAAACTTGGGGATGGTGCCATCCGCCTAGTCATCGACCCGCCTAGTCAGTGGATAACCTGTTTGGGGAAATCGTTTCCCCACAAAGTATGGATGGAAAAGGATCAAGAACCGTTTTTTTTCCAGGGATACTCAGTGGAGTAGTTCACTACCCAGACGCTCCATGGGACTGCCATATGTGCCTACATTGATCCCTCAAACCACCCCTGGCCTGATCGGCATATATACCAGTCCCATGGAGCGTCTGGGCTATAGCGTTGATGATTCCCAATGTGTGAAAACCACTCCTCCACCGTTGATTCCGAGGCCACGATCAGTACGGCGGTGGCACTCTTCTCGGGTTTCTTCAACATCCTGCAGCTCACGGCCTCCTGCCGAACTGCGCGAGAACTGCGCTCTCCCCGTGGTTTCCTTTTCCTGTATTATCCCTATCAGCACCCTCCGGTCACCACCTCAACTTTGCCTACAAAAGTCTCCAGAGGGGACCTGTTGGAAGGTGCTGGTATGTTTATCGATCCCTATAGGGTGAATCGCCTAACATGTTGTTCTTCGGCTCCTTGAGCAGGAAGATCTTGTGCGGGAGGGGTTCAACCCAACGACTTCACCGCCCGGTGCGGGAGGCATCTAAAGATCTCCCGCGACGTGGTGCGACCGGGGTTCCGAAAATTGGGACGTGTCTTGACCAGAGAAACAGGTCAACTGCTCGGGTCTCCGTCCGCTTGGGTCTTCTCACCTTATACATCATTGCATATCATTGCTGCATGATGGACATGCCGTGGCAGAAAGCTCCTGACAGAGCTCAGTCAGTGGCGGCCAGAACCGTGTCATGAGGAATGAGGTTTCATGCGAAGTCTCCAGAGCTCCATTTGGTCCCTATAGGAGCCCCTAGTAGCTTCTTGTTCCTAGTAGTAAGGCCAGGAGCCCCTAGTAGCGTCCTTGCTCCTAGTAGCAAGTGGTTCTGGAATCAAGTTCGGTCACAACTGCTTCGAACCAGGCCATGGCATAGTCTAGACCCAGAAATTGAAGCATGGACCCAATACGCAACATCGACTCCATGACTAAAACAACGGCCGAAAGGGACCATGGAGCCATGTCACACCCATGTCAGTTCATGGAGCCATGACCGTTACAGAGCCATGACGCTTTCATGTTTCAACGGCATCGCGCCCGACGGGACGATGCGCCGACCCCGACGTGCTGGGCACCCGAGCTGACCGCCCAGGCCATCGATGACTTCGATCTTCCGGGCCGAGTCACTTGGAGCAGGGCCCAGCCAGGAAGGTACGTAGCACCAGTAGCACGCTGGCAACTGCATGTGGGTAGGACAGTCCGTGGAAAACCCATGTACATCCTGGTGACAGACAGATCAGGTGATTTGTTTTCTTTTTTCCCTATGGTTAAATACCCTTCTGGGGAATAGGATTGTATGATGTTTTGTGATGTTTGATGTGTTCCAACTTCCTTCTGCAAACCGAAGATATATATATATATATGCACAGTATATATATATATATATACACAGATGGTATATCATTTCAACCCTTCAGTGCTTGGTCAATTGGTATTCGATGGGACCTGAAGCGTCGTCGATGGGACCTGTAGCGATGGCACGACGTAGCCTGGTGCTTCGTGTCTTTGTCCTTCGTGTTAGTGGCCATCCGTTCGACCATTCAAAGAGCTCCGTATTCAATAGACGTGTACCAATCAAGTCAATATTAAATGGTTGTGGTGGGAATCTTAGGGATTGCAAGTGAGGATTCATAATTGGTGTCGTAATGTGTCGTAAAGTCAGCTGCACTTAGGGAGTTTGTTGTAAGATACAGCGTAATTCATCGGTGTTTGGTTGCTTTAAACTAGTTCCCGTGGAGCTGAATTAAACCTTTGCTTAGAATTTGTAGTATGTAATTGCCAAGCCAGCACATTGACCATTAAGATCTATAAACCCCTGCAGGCCAAGGTCAAGTTCAAGTATACGGTATCGACAAAGAAGACTGAGCAAAACCAATGCATAATCTCACATAGCCCATCACTGCTCACTTAGCTCATCAGCATATCATATCCCAGATTCAATTCAACATGTAATCACTTATTATAGATCTTGGGAATATTTCACCCCTTTGTACTTTCCTGCTGGTTGTTTAAGTTCAAAGAATAGATATTGGTAGTTTAGGGGTCTCAACTAGACATGTCATACAGCCTGTTTGGATTGAACGCTTCTTGGAGCAATCGATGCGACCAGTCGACCAGGGCTGCATGTTGCCGACAGTGGTTGGTTCTGAATCCTGGTCAAACACAAACATTCCATTTCTCATTTCTCTCCATTTCTCTCCCCAACTGCCTGGAGCAGCCCCCCCCAAAACAAACAACCCTAAGAACCAAGGACCTTCGAAGGTGAAGGCTTGGGGCCCGACCCCGGGAGGGTCCAATGGTCATCTCCGCTGCAAGGAGAACAACTTCAGCTTGAACTTGTCGAGACCAATCGAGTGGATCGCCACATGCCCCATCATGCAGCTGAAGTCTTTGGGCTGAAAACGAAGGTCTTTGGTCCATGGATTTGGGTGTTTTCCGGCCAGAAGTGAGGTGACTACGTCACCTCGGCGTGGCTTTCGGCCCTTTGTTTCCGGACGTGGCAAAGCCGGAGGTGGCGAGAAACAAGTTCTATGGCATGGTATATGGATATATAAGGTGTAATAGATGTTGTTTCTAGGTTCGTTTGTTTTCCAAGCAGACATGAGCCGATCCGGCTATAGCCAGGCCGTTTCAAAGCCATGTGGTTCGGCTGGTGGCGGCCCGGAGAACCGGAGATGGAGTTCAGACGTGAAGCGGGTCGGAGTTGAGGCTATATAACAATCCAAAAACCATATGGTCATAACCATGGTCGGTTTTGGACCATCGGTTATGCCCAAAAAACTCTTTTTCAGACAAGGTCCAAATCAGGTTCTGTCTCACTCAGTTCTGGAGACCACACAACTTGAACAGAGTCTGATTCACTGCGAGTGTCGTGAACACCTGCTGATCCTCGGATCGACAGACGCGCCACGGGTCCACGTTCGCCACGGGTCCTCGTGGTCAAAACGGTGCGACGTAGCCCACCCTAGGGCTCCTGGCCCACCTCCTGAGAAGATGGCTAGGGTGGGTTTGGGGGGTCTAACCACCTGAGGATATGGTTGGAGTCCTAGGGCCAGTTCCCAAGGTACATGGACGGGTGCAAACGGAGACCCAGTCTATAGCAGTGTAGGGTAGTCGAGACACCCCTTGGATGGTCCTGTTGTTGGGTTCGGGCCATGTCCCAGACGAACGAAGTCAGATCCAGAAGATACAACGGATTGGGGGGTCTATTTGTAGCCCCCAAAAGAGGTGACTCAGGTCCATTATTTAACCACCCCGACCTTGGGTCCTGGTACATAGACTCCATTTCAAGCATCCCAATGTGGGCACATAACATTATTCTTATTATATTACTTTTACTGTATACCCTTAACAGCCTCTTAGCAAAGAGGCTCAAATGTTGGCCTCTCCATTCAGGAGTTGCCGCTTAGAAAAAAGACTGCCTCTCGTGTTTTTCTGGTAGAAGGGAATCTTGTCATTTGTAATGTTTTTTTTCCACTGTGATTGTCCACTGGATTTGAACTGCGTCCAAACCCAAATCAGCCATTTGAGTTCATCGTCAGGCCCGGCGTAACTCTCCGAGGTGTTTGGTGTCTGGAGGTCCACCTTCCAACAGGAGGCTTTTGTAGACTTAAAAGTCGCAGGTGGTGACCTATTGGAGGGTGCTGGTATAGATCTCTTTCAACTATGCAAACTGTTTGCCGGACTTGGCTTGCTTTAGAGATGAAAAGGCAGACATTTGGCACAGTTTTAAGATCCAAAGTATTATTATGCCGCGTATCTTCCTCTTTCTGAGTCGACCTCCACACAGAGCTCTGCGCTCGACCCCCAAACGCTGCATGTACCAGGACCATCCTGTTTGGGTGTCGACTACCCTAGGGATCTCCAGCCAGCACACCCAGACACCAACGTTGGACCACGAAAAGCGAAGAAGAACCAAGACCGGCATGCATGGCCAAATATGGCCATTATAATGGTTTATAGTTTATACATGGTTGGTTTTTGGATGGTGAAGGTCAGCCAGGTTGGCCTGTGAAGCCATATGTTGGCTTCATGTTGGCTATATGATGCTATATGGTTTCATATTGGAAGCCAGCTCTCTCAATTCTTTACAGTTTTTGTTTTTTCGCCTTTGAGCCTGAAATTCCCGAGAAACGTCGCGAGTTCCCCTCGTTCCATCACTAGGTTGGTGGTGCTGGCCGGTGCACGTGTTCCCAGCTATCGCCCCGTGGTGGAAGCGGTGAGGAGAGGTCTGGGGGGTTGGGGGTTTGACCAGTCAGATTCGTCACCCCAAAAGACATGCATACGAGCAACGCCCGGGTCTGTACACAAATCTTTATGGTGAGAGGAACTTTCGCATAACCGTGCGGGGACCCTGTAAAGCGATAGAGTGAACAACCAAAAGCAAGACCCTCACAAGGTATACCTCGGTATACCTCGATCAGTTGATTCAATTCTTATATTAATTGTTGCCTGTGTTGCTTTGCATAAAGCGATACCTAGGACCTAAGCGATACCCGGGGATGATCAACATGTTGTTTAGATGAGCGGAGATCCTTTTCTTTTTGGAGGATGCCTCATGCAAAGAAGAAGAAGAATACGAAGAAGAAGGAAAGGCTGTGTCAATATGATACTCTCTCAGCTCTCTACCCGTATCCATGTGTAGTTCACTTGTGTCATTGTGATTTCAAGAGAAAGTCTGCAGACAATTGACACAGGATGACACAGGCATCTGAAAAAAAGGTACAAAGTCAAGCATTATAGTGAACAACCAAACGTGATGCCAACATATGCAGTTCCGCTTTTGTACCAGCTCGCTCATATATATATATATATATAGTTGCTGGATCCTAACATTGTCTCCTGTACAATTGACCCCTGCAGAATTGGGTCTGCGCCTTGCCAGCTTACCCCAGGTCGCTTCATGATGCCTCTCTTGAGTGTGGCCGTGCTGCTTTGTGGTACTGCTTCGATGTTCACTGGCGATGCCTTACGCTACGGCTGGTATGGACGCCCTGCCTTATTCACGGGGCCAGCGAGGGCGCGTTTGATTCCGGTCAGGAGATGCAAACCTGGTGCTAAGTGAGAGGCATTGCATGAATCAACCTCTTGGTGGGAGTGGATATCATGCAAGACTGGTGCTTTGACTATTGGACCTATTGGATCCTGGCAAATCGCCAGATCCCGTTCGCGGCCGATCTAAAAAACAGTCGACCTGCACTACCAGTCCTAGAACCAATAGGATCATGTTTGGGCTGTTCATGGGTTTTATTGGCGATGACGTGCGGCTGTTGAACTGTGCTTTTCATCGCACTTGTCTCAGACCAACAGACCATGTCTCAGACCAACAGACTCGCATACCCCTTCGCCACTGTCCTGACTGGAACATGGAGTCCCAATCCCTCGGTCCTCTAGGATTCGGTCTGCTCTTGGCCGGCATCATGTTCTACCACAATGCCTTGCAGATCCGAGAGAACTCCGAGGGCGAAGAGAACGCCTTCATGGGCGATTCAGACTTCCGCCCCTTGGGAGGTCGCCTTTTTCGGTGACGAGGGGGAAGAAACGAAGCTGGATGGAGGTTCGAGGGTGAGGAAGGGCTCCGGAAAGGAGGATGAAGCAATATATCATATAACATATAACAATAATATATGAACCCAAGTCCAGTCTGACCCTACAAGTAACCCTACAAGCAGCCCAGGTTGCTGCAGAATTTGGTGGATCAACAGCAACCCTACAAGTCCAGTCTGACTCCGCTCCAAACCTGGTCATTTACTGACCTCCTTTTTCGTAGTGCGAACTTGTATGACAACTCCAGTCAAGTGAGGTCAGGGCAAGTGCCAGTTTTTAGATGTTAGAAGATTCCACTTGGAAAAGCCCTGTAGGCCAAGTACACTCCACCTGTAGGACAAGTACTCCAGATTTTCATGTCACAAGTACTCGGTCTGGCCCAAGTGGGTGGATCGCTCCAAGAATCAAGACCTGAACCCGGTGGATCGCTCGGGGGGTGAACCTGAGATCGAAACTTCGGCGGACCTAAGACCATCAAGGGCCCATCTCCTGGCCGGAAAAGGGATATGGCAAGATCGATCAGATCGAGCCTGGATTCGAGACCGATCCTTCACGAGTGTCGAATCCAAAGTTAGTTCCAGGATCCCATGGAGCAAAGTATTAGTTGAAGCATGTTGAAGCGTTCTATCCACCTTTGGCAGGCCTTGTCTAGCCAAGCTTGGATAGCATACCTCCCGTGCGTCTAGTTCTGCCGCGACGTGATTCTTTTGTGCGAGGGTTCCACTATACTCGGATTGACAAGCTCAGAATACGGGCGGAAATCATTGCACGACAAATTGGAAAGGAGGGCGCTGTCCCGAATATTCCCGAATTTCTCGAAAACGTTGGAGGTCTTGCCACCTCTACCCCAGTATTTTTGGCTGCCGTTGTTTGAGCTAACAGAAGTGAGTTTCCAGAAAACAAACATACTAGACAATGGTGAAAGCATGTAAACATCCCGGAAGTTGAAATGACAAAGTGGCTGTTGATATTTAGTTGATCACGCATCCTACCTCCATTGCACCTCGGTGTGTTTTCTCCAATAACGATGTTCCATCGAATGAGTGAGTCGCACCAAGGAAAGCTCTCCTTGTTGCTGATCCTCACTTGGTTCCCGTTTCCGATTTGGTTCAGCTTGAGCCCGAAGACCCAGCTGAGCGACGCCGAAGCTGCGAAAGGGGTTTCTTCGGATGCGGGTGGTTTTGGTGCCCGAGTCCGGGTCTTCATCCAACCTGATTGACCCCTGTTTTGGAGCCAAAATATGGTCTTTTCCTATCTAGACAGAGGTCATGTTTGGTTTCTAGGATGGAGCTGATTTCAGTGCAAAGAGAGCATTGTCGACATGGACATGGTGTAGCTAGGTACTCTAGGTCTTCCTCAAGCAAGCATATCCCCCCGCACACGATCCCATGGACCCCGAGAAGGCAATCCCGTGGTGGTTTCGACCCTGTTCCTTTACAACCACACCAGTGGGTTTTGGGGTTCCATGTAGAGTGCCCTCTGTAGGGGAGTATTTGAAGCATTTTTGTAAACCACACTTCCATGCTCCAAGTTTCAGGAGTTTCCCAAGGTTGCATTGTGGCTTCAGCTCCCTGCGGGTCCCTACGGTCTCGCATTCTGCTACGGGTTACGGAAAAAGACCGGTCCATCCCTGGGCCCGGTCGACTTGAGCCCGTTTGAGCGCTCTTGGCTCGGGGCGACCACCTTGTGTTACCGGATATGTTGCTCTATACAACATGAACATCAACTGGTCAGCCTTTTGATGTTCGTTGATGATCTCGCCACTGCAGCCTTGCCTTCCAAAGAAAGAGACAAACTAGACCGCTGGAACAAACAAAACACATAAACCAAAAAACGAAAAACACGCGCGTGATCCGCGGAAAATCGGCGGATGCTGCGGGTTGGCGGATCATGCGACTAGATGTGGCAGGTATTGAGGGCTTTGGAGTGATTACCGACTATTTGGTCATCGAGATGGGATGGGTGGCCTTGAACATTGCCTCTTGGGAGAGGAGTTGACTCTGGTCGTCGAGACGACAGGAGGCTGTTGAAGGCACCGAAAAACGGAAGCTTTTGGCCCTGTTTTTTGTTGGCTTTGGGAAGAAGGGTGTGAAACAGTGAACGTTGATGACGTCGGGTCCCGTTGAGACGGAGTCTGCAAGGAGTCAGACGTTCTTACGGAAACCGCTTGGGAACCTTGAAACCTTTTTTTGAAGTCCCTTTTTGAAGTGTAAAACCCGTACCAAAACAATGGTTGTTCAGTAAAAGCAGGGTTGAAAGCTATATTACAGTAGATTTGAAGCAACTCATCGGTGAAAATTGCTCGAGTGGACCATGCCGGCCACACAGGATTCATGAACTGTGCAAGATGTGCAAGGCAATGCCGGTTCTTTGAGTGTGTTTTCTTTACAAAGCGGGTGGGTGGGTGGGTGGGTGGGATTTTTAGTTTTCCTCCGTACTTGGTTAAAGTGCAAGTCAGTGATGGTCAAGCAGCTTCACACCCACAACTAGATGAAAGTGGTGCCATTTCTGCAGAGACCAGACTGATGAGTAGAATCTTGAAAGGTACATCAAGTTACCAAGAAAAGAGGGGGCTACCTTTGCTTTCGCTGACGCTTCACCACACCGTTTTGAACTGCCTCCATGCATCCAAATCATGTTCTTCAGAGTTGTTTTATTCTTGTAATAATTGTATGTATAGTGTTATATAACCGTATTTGATCGGTTTTGTTTTGTTTTTGAACCATGTTCTTTTCTCAACGTGTTTGTTGGGACCACTAACGTTGGTCTTTGCAAACCATGTATATCTATCTGTTTTTTGTTTCATACTCAATTACTGTAGTAGACCTACATAGGCTCCATGCAATCCCTAACTCCTTGCGGGAAACGACCGAAGGAAGCACCCTGGCTGTGACCACCGGTGCATACCGATAACCACCGGTTTGAACCACCGGTGTTCCAACACATGAGGCCACTGTGAGGCCAGGGTCAATTTTATTTCCTCCCCCAGAGAGAAAACCATTTGCAAATGGCGCATAGGAATCTGCATTTTCCTGCCGCCAGCCAGATTCTTAAGAGATATTAGAAGGGGAGAGTTGGTGATGATTTCTTGCATCGGGTTTTAAGCCAACTGAGGGGAAGAGAAGCTATTTCTTTTGGGAACATCAGCCAGTTCTGCAACAATTGCTCATGCGTTCCACGCCGGTTGCACCTCAGATCCTCTCCTCGATCCCCTCCTTGCTAGCCAACATCCTGCCGACATGCATCGAGTGCCAAGATTTCGAAATTCACCTTCATCATCCTCATGCAGCGTATGAAGATGCTCCACCAGCGGAAGCTGGAAGCTGCGCGGGAACTCTATGGCCTGTCCCCAACCGAGTCTTGGCCTACGGGGAAGATGAGACGAGTGGATCTCTGACTTGTGTGACTCGTAGGGAATGCGGGAAGGACTCCTCAAAGCTGTCGCTAGGAGCAAGGACGCTATTAGGTGGAGGCCATCGCCACCAGGAACAAGAAGCTACGAACGGGGTGAAACTGGCATCACTACGAACGGAGCAAGGATGCTACGAACGGGGCGAAACTGGCATGGTCACTAGGAACAAGAAGGTATTAGCTACCAGTCGGATCGATCGACCAAACAGCTCGCGGTTTTTCGGAAACGCACGAGCTCTGGCCGGCAACCGAACACCCGCGATCGAAGAAGGAGGGAGAGGCCTGGGATGTCGATCTTTAAGCGAGGAGGCCTCTCCGTTTTCAGCTGAGGATGAGATTGGGGAGGATGAGCTGAAGCAGAAAAACAATGGCCATGTCAAGTCTGCTGCAGGCACGTGAAAATATTGCTGTGAAGAAGTGGGAGAGTCGAAGAGCGTCCAGCTGGAAAAACAAACATAGAAACAAAGCTTATCGTGATCCAATCACCAAGATGGTGTTGCTTTTCCTTGCTCTTTTTCATAGTGCGAGGAGTTTCAACTTCACTAGTGCTTATGTGAAAGCAACAGCTGCCAGCTTGGTGACTGGGTTGCAGACTATTGAATGTTTGTTTCTGGATGGATCAGTGTTGACCATCAGGTTGAATGATCTCTCCAAGTCATGTGGGGTTGAGTTCTGGTCGGTCGAAGGGACCCTCTCGTTTGTTAATTTCTGTTCTGAGAACAGAGCTCATGTTGTTTGAAGCTGTTCCCGCAAATTGTGCCATGTAGTCGTGCATTTTTTGAAAGGACAACTCTGCTTAACAAGGACGGCCTGGGAGATCTCAGCAGTTTCAGGAATTGCAAGCCTGAACGCCGGTGGTGTCTACCAACCATTTGAATAGATATCGACCTTTATGTCCATGAAATGGGAAAACAAATAAAACAACACACGACTTCCTTTCAACCCAAATGAACCTTGGGTTCCAAACACACCCATCTCACCCCTCAACCTGCCCCCCCAACAAAAACTGTTTTCAGGCGGTGTGGCGGCATCCGCGTACGGCTTGGGCTTTGGTGTCTTGGTCGAATGAATGTCGGACGTCTAAGGATTCTGGGGCAGACGTCCTCGAAAGGACTTACTTCACGGTGCCAGAAGGAGAAGTGCAGGGGATTGGGGAGGTGTCCCCACAAGTTGAACAGGAGGAAAAACATGTTCATGTGTACACTCTTGATTTATTATTATGATACAATCCCCTCCCATTGTAGTAACCTGATTCAATATGGAGGGGGTGATCTTATCATCAAGAGTACATGAACCGTTCTTTTCCAGGGAGGCCGAGGCCTTTTTCGCTGTTCTTTCTATAACCGATGCTTATATAATGATCTTGGAAGAGGCCAGTGGGTTCCCGTTCTATTTTATTTTAAGATCTTCCATCTATACAAAATGTTGGGACTGACCCGGCAGATTTGTTGGGATGGAAACAGTTTTACACTCAAGGTCTGGTATCAGGAACATTCAGGAATCAGTCTCTTTGCCTCTTGGCACTCCAGGTTGGCGTGGTTCCCACGCCGAACGACGTGGAAAACTCGTCGTTTCGTTCCCATGAAGTGAGTGAAGGAGGAAAGGGCCGAGGGCCATACTTATCAGTCACCTGAACAACCAGGCGAGAAGCCCATTCACCAGGACCTGAGTAACTCGTTCACCAGGACAATCAGGATATTTGTCGTGGCCTCGACCACAGACCTTTGGGTGACCTCAGCCACTGGGATCTCAAGAACCAGTCACTGGGAAGTTTCTAGAATGGGTCAAATGTTTGGTGCAGCATCCCAATGCTGTGTTCGTTTCGGGGTGAGTCACTGAAGATGAGGTGAGGAGGCTGAGAGTGAAGAGAAGATGGTGGAAGTTGTGGCCGAGACCATGGTGACCTTGGGCATGAACCTTGACGAACCCGCAGTTCCCGACGCGGGGGAACACCCCCGCGCCATCTCCCACATGGTCGGACCCGGTCGGTGGTTTCATGTTTCGGTCGGTCCGCCGGACAGGTCGTGTGGTTTTTGGAGTCTGGCAAAAGTGGGTGTTGTTGTTTCTTCAAGGGTGAGGCGATGTCAGGACATGTTTGGGCCACTGAAGATTGGGAAGATGTGTGAAGGAACCAGTGGTGTACATCATCACTGCTTAGATGGCTAGGCCATTTCCTAGGCACTGAGCTGAACAAAGTTATTTGTTGGGTACATGGCCCCAGTCATGGCTGCCTCTTTACCAACCAAGGAGTGCGCACACGGACCGGCTGGTCAGATTGATGGTGGCCCAGATCGCTGTGATGAAACGCGGGTGGATTGTAATCGCTTGCGTGACATAGAGTCGGGAGTGTGACATTTGCGTATTATATAGACCATATAGACACCCACATGTTAGCACATGATGATGTTATATGTCATATATATATATATATATGTCATTTTAGCACATGTGTGGTTTATATGTGTTTCTGGACTGTGGAGTCCGGCCATTCTCACCGTACGCGAGCTGATCGTCTGGGTCCAGTGCTGATCGTTTTCGCTTGCTCGCTTGCTTGCTCCACACAGCTTCGACTGGGACCATCCGAACCGGAGGGGGTCTGGGGTTCCTGGCACCATCTGATGGTGCAGGACAATTCCAACCCCTATGGATCCATAGGGAAGAGAAGTTCCGTCATGTGGAGGACTTCCATTGACTGAAACAAAAAAACTCATGGTCATTCGTGGTGGTCCCACCTGTGCAGTCTCCCCACACATGGTCGTGGCCAAGAAGAGACACTCAAACCACCCTTTTCAAAGGACACAGGACTTTCAAAGTGACCAAAGTGACCGAACTTAAGATCCAATTTGGTCACAAACAGGCCTGCAAAGGGTCATGAACAAAGAGTCCATTTGCAGGTCACGAACTGAAGGTCTTGAAACCAACATAAGCCAACATGTCTAGGTTTTGTCTTGAGTCTTTGAGCCTTGAACCCAAACCCATCGGGCCTTCTCGCTACCCAAGTCTTGGGGGCCTTCGGGGCCTTCTCTCCACTCCAAACCCCACCGGCCCTTCACCAGTGGCCCTTCACCTGTCATGAACCGGCACACCTCCGCGTTTCCGTCACGCGTGCGCTGGGACGGTGATGCGATGCGATGGACGGGTGAGGTGGAGAACGGCGTGACGAACACCGCCGTGCTGGAACGGCTCAACGGCGAACGCTGCATGGAGCTGAACTTGCCCTATGTGCCGCATGGAGCACCAGAACCGGAGGGTGGGAGGGGGATGGGTGGGGATGGGTGGGGGGTGGATGTGGGGTCCAATGGGATATGGATGGAGAAGGATTTGGAATGTCAAAGTTGCCCATGGCTGCAGGGTTTGAGACAGTCGCCATTGGCTGGGTTTCGGTTCGTCTACGTCGCTATGAGGTGTTTCTGGGCGAATCCCGCTCCACACGACGAAAAACGACGGCCCGCGAGGTCGTGAACAGGATGTGGCCCGGTGGATCCCCGTCGGTTTTGGTTGTAGGATTTCCCATTAATGTCGACATATATGGATTAAGTAACCACCCCCTATGAATCAATCCCAGCTGGACCCCCCCAATACGAAACTAATTTAAAACCTAGATTTCCCATTACGGGTTTAGTCTTTGGAACCACTGGTTACCAGGCTTGGAAAACCACCCACTGAGAAGGCATTTTGAACGACCGCTGGGCCTTAGCTTCGCATGCCCTGTCATGTTCCTCAGCGGTGAGGTTGATCGAGGCATGCCAGAAGCGTTGGACCTCGGAAAAGATGAACTTGGGACAGGAGAACCGTTCAATCATGTTCTATGTCTTTCCCCGAAGGCCCCGAAGTTCAAGACTTGGGTAGCGAGAAGGCCCGATGGGTTTGGGCTCAAGGCTCAAAGACTCAAGACAAAACCTAGACATGTTGGCTTATGTTGGTTTCAAGACCTTCAGTTCGTGACCTGCAAAATGGACTCTTTGTTCATGACCCTTTGCGGGCCTGTTTGTGACCGCAAATCCGATCTTAAGTTCGGTCACGAAAGTCCTGTGTCCTTTGAAAAGGGTGGTTTGAGTGTCTCTTCTTGGCCACGACCATGTGTGGGGAGACTGCACAGGTGGGACCACCACGAATGAACATGAGGTTTTTTCAGTGAATGAATTTCTCTTGGATCCATGGTTTTTCACCATTTTTGTTTACAAACCACCTTTCCAGAAGACTCGCCTCATCTTTGCACGAGGCAGAACATGGGTTGGCGGAGAAAAACACACGTTTGTGCCATTTTATGCCCGGTTTCCTCAAGTAAGTCCAACTCAGGAGAACCGAGACCCGAACTAGTGCATGTGCATGTTCCATAGGTGTGTTCCATGATGCACTTTGCGGACCTTCCGCTGTCCTTCCACCACTGTCCTTCCCGAAATCGTGGGGGGGTTGACTCGGGGTTTTCGTTCACTGCAAGAAGCCACTAGTTGGGGAACTCAATTCATTCCCAGATCGAAACCCATCTATCTACGCCAACCAACCCCTAAACATAGGTACTTACCGTACCCTTGCAGGTCGTGCCCCATGTTGAAGTCGGATACTTGGGTCCCGGGTCCCGGGTCGAGGTCTCACCTCCCAAACGATGCGTGCGCAGACACATACGCGCAGTCACAGACCACAAGAGCCAACCATATGTTCCAAGCTTGTTAGCTTGGTGACAAGCTTCCAACTGGTACACATGTTGGCCAAACAAACTCATGGAATAAGTGGTGTTTCTTTCCTTGGGCTTCGTTTGAATGCTTCGGCTCCCATCCCAACTAACAGATATCAACACGTGTTGTTTGATATTTTCTGAGGTGTCAACTCTTGGTACAGCTTCCCTCCCGGTGAAAAACCAAGCTCGCAAATTTGCAGGACCAGGGTGGCTTGATTGAGAAAGAAGATCCCTTTATGAAGCTGTTGGAAGCCAACAAAGTGCCTCAGCTGATCTAGACCTGAGGCTTGAACAGTGAAGCTTTTAATTTTTGGATGGATGCTATCAGGAGGGCTCAAGAAACTTAACTTTAAATGGAGGCGGCGCACTGAACTGACCTAGCTGCGAATGGAAATGAAACAAGACGAATTATGGCATCAGGAAGGATGCTCAGTCATGGAGGGTCCAGGTTCTAGGTGATCTTTGCACCTGAAATGGGCAGAATGTGCTTCACTTTTTATAGAAACCATGAAACAACAGACATTTGAAAGAACGATGTCTTCGGAGCATGTTCTGATGATCAGTAAGCTGTAACGCTATCCTTGGGTACATGCAAGGACCATCCAATGGGTGCCCAATGGAGATCCCTAAGTAGTCTAGCGTAGTCCAATGGACACCCAGACAGGATGGTCCTGGTATGTGTTCTTTGGACCACGAACACACCCTTGGACCGGAAGATGTCTTCATATGTCTTCCTTGCAACCTGGAAGTCTTCCACATCGTTTCTTTTTTTGTATGAGGAAAACATCATCTATAGTCTTTCTAGTTCTCTCTTGACTACTACGGAGAAGACGAAGCCCAAGTATGTAACCGTTGTTCTATTTTATCTCCCTATCACGGCGGTTTGGTATCTCAGATGATTTTATCTGAAGTCATAATACCGATGATGTATTTCATTCACAAGAAAGTGGTCTTTGGTTTGGCATGCGTTCGAGAAGCACCTGAGTTTACATGTTGCATCACAGACAACATCAATCATTTTGTAGCATAAATCTGCAAAAAAAAACATAACATCAATCAATGACCTGCAAGAACAGATTGGACAGATGTTTCATGGCCCCAGACCTTGAACTCCGAAAAATAACCAGTTTTGTCCCAGAATTCACCTTTTGGAACTTGGAACTTTTCTCGAAGACCCACGAGTCGATCTCCGCTCAGGACCGCATGACCAACGTTTCTGGGAAGACCACCAACAACTTGATGGCGGCTCTGCCGGGAATTCCGGCCACTGAACAGCCCAGCCGCATGATGCCAGGCACGGAGCGAACGGGGTGGCCACGGGTCCGCCACGGGTCCCGGCGAACGCGGAGGAAAACCCGTTCTTCCGGTCCCTGCAGGGGCACCAAAGCATTCTGAGCCACGCCGCATTCTGAGCCCTCTCTTTACATGCTTGGTTTTGACGCGCGCCGTTGGAGGTCATAAGGAGGGTTGGCTGGGTCGGTTTCCAGCACAGCTGGAGTCCGACCGTTGGTGTGTTTTGGCCGACCGACCGTGGAGTCCGACCTCTTCTGCGCCCGAACCGACAGTGAGTGCTGTTGTCCATGTTGGGCATGGCCCAGCTTTGTTTTGATGTCTCCGACCATCAGGGAAGTCTGTTTCAGGTGAAGTAGCTGCGTCCCAAAATCATCCCCGACTCTGTGGCAAATGAAGTGGTGCATGAACATGCATGAACTTGTTAAGAAGGATGCTACATGAATTACCCTTAACAGTCGTCTGAGAGTCACGAAACCATGAATCAAGCGGGACACCATCTCTAGGTTCTTCCGCAAATAAGCTCTGTTCTGCTTGGCCGACCACTACCGTGGGGTTCCTCCGTTCCGCCGGTCGCGCCGGTCGGTCGGTCAGGCATGATGATGACCGAGGACATGGAACATGTCTTCACGTCAATGATGCACCAGGCCACGTGACGGAACATCAGTTTTGGATCTGATCACCAAACAGCTCTGATCATGGAATGCTGGAAGTCAAAGATTTTGACCTTGACCATAAGCCTCCAACCCCAACAACCAGTCAAATATTTATTGACCTCCTTGGCCTGTCCTCAGATATATTCTTAGACCCTTATTGCTCAACCTACTAAATATAAAATCCTTGGCCAGAGATCTGAGGACAGGCACGAAATTGTTGAAATTAGAAGGTTAATCTCAGCCACTCAATTTTAAACTAGTTTCAATCATCTCCGAAACCTATCTAAAAAGAGACATCCCCAGCTGCTCAGCAGCTCTGGTGCTCAGCTCTTCTTGGGGAAGGTTGATTCTCCCTGTGAAGCCGTGCAGAAAGATCAGGATATCCGAAGAGATCTGATCAATTGGCGGTCGTCCTCCGCCGTGAAAGATCTACCCGTCCTCGGCCCGGTTGAAGGACCCCTGTCCTCCGGTCGACCGGGTCCTTCTGATTCAACGCCATGAAACTTAGCAAAAAGAACATCCAAGCCACGCAACCAGGGTTCAAGTTCTATAAACTCAGCTCATGAAGTTCATGGAACATTCATGCACATGTCGAAATATCTGGTGTCCAAAGATCGTCGAATTCTGAACGGAGCCGGTGGTGTATGTGGTGATTCTGGACACGTCAGAGCCATGTTGTTCATGGGGCAATGACCCAGCGCTTTGGAAGTGACATGACCACGAAGGCATGGGCACCCGATGGCACCCGTCGACCCCACGAAGGCAACATCCAACCGGAGAGTCGGGCCTTGTACGTACTCCAACTTCAACCCAAGCACCTGAGACTGGCTTGGTGGAAGATGTTGATGTTCTTAGATGTTCCTAGTAATTCTCGGTTCCTGGATAGCAAGATTCAGATACCATACAAAGATCGAGGCCCCTTTGGCCAGTTGCTCGCACGCAGTGCAGTGCGGTCCATCGTCGCCAGGTCTTGCTGCCGTTCCAGGAGAAGCTCCGAAACGACGAACACCACCGTTCCGCGCGAACGCGTTTTCATCACACTCACGCGCCCGTGCCCGAAAACGAGCTATACTCCCGTGCGCTTCCGTAGCTCATTGACGGACCATGGAGTTGACACACGAAACGGGCTGGTGTTGATCCCGATGTGATGCGAGAAGAGGGTTTTGAACCGTTTTCCGCACGGCACGTTCGGTTACGCACGGAACTCGGCACGGAACTCGTTTGGGGTGATGGCGCCATGGTACGTTTGACATCCATGTCCACAAAATTGCCCAGAACATGTGTCTCGTTCTCAGCTTCCGTAAGATCATCCGCCGTGTTCGTCTTGGACATGATTCATGGATCGGGGTTCTGACGAAGTCCGGTGTGTGACCGCCGGTTGACCTCTTTAGGTGAAGACCCAGCCATCGTTTTAGGGATTGGAGACGACCAAACCAAGTCAACCGAGCTGATTGAATGGGTCTTTGGAATAGTAGGGGTCCCTTGCATTACTTAGGCTGCATTAGGGTCATCACTGGGGGGTTTTCTGGGGTCAATGGGTCAGCCGATTTGAAGGACGATGGACGAAGGACCAGGTCGCGTGACGAAGCTCGCTCATGTGAACGGGTCACAAAGTCAGGAGCAGGTGATGACGAAGCTCCATGCCATGGAAGAGAACATGCAGCGTCAGATGGAAACATCTCAAGAGGCCATCGCACAGAGGAGACCCCGACGAGGGAGGGACACATTTTTATTGTTGACGCGGTTGAGTGGCTAGACCAGGTCTAACCGGCCTTCTGAACAAAGTGATGTAAAGTGGTGAACCGAACTTTCCACCAAAAAATTGAGTGGGGTATCCCCCATGCCCAAAGTTCCGAACTCTCCATCGTTTTCCCTGCAGGTGATCCACCTCTTGTGGGATACGGAACCAAAAACAACTTCCGTTCCGGGGGCTCAGCCATGGCACGCGACAACTACCCCAAGGCTTCCAAGACGATTTAAAACATGGTTGACCTGGTGTTGTAGTGTAACATCCTTTAGTAAAACAATGATTGTATTGGTCTAAACTCTAAACATGCATCATCCATTAAAACACGATGGTCCAGTGGTCACAGAGCTCGGGGTGGTGTTTCCGTCCCATCCAGTGGATGCGAGGAGGGACCCCCCGAGCCGCGACCCGACCTACCGTGACCTACCGGTCGACCGGTCCACCACCCCCTCCGACGGAGGTGTTTGTGGACAGGGTGACCGTTCGATCGCGATGCCCAGAACTTCCGTGACATGAACCAGGACGAACATGTGAACTACACCTGGTAGGTCAATCCATCCACCACATTCCACCACTACCAGAACCTCGGTAGTTCATGAGTCATGAGTCATGTACCGGACTCTCAGGGTTTTTCTTCACACTTCCTTTGGAGGGATCGAGGTTTCTCGACTCCCTATAGACCGTTGAATAGACCGTTGGGCAAAATCCGTTTCTGTTTCAACACATCAGAAGTTACTCATGCATAAATGATCAATATGATGTTGTATATATAAACTGTAGTCATATGATGTTATATGAATATGTCATATCTATTGGATGTGTTTGATGAGTAGACATTGCAAGTGCTGTGAGCCTGGCGTTTTCATCACTCACAAGAGGTTACAGGGATCCCGTCAAGACAACCACCAAACCGCTTGGACAATAGACGTTTTTCCACCAACGTCTTTAGCCAACGTAAATGTTGGTGATGCTCTAGTGCAGGGTTCCACTTTTGCTCCATCCGACCAAAACAAGCATGATTATATATAAAGAATTTAAAATTAAAAACTTCATAGATCATATAGTATTCAATATTCTACCCTGAACCTGGCTAGTATGTCCTGATCACCTGCAACACCTTTTTTCGGGCATTTGTCTCTTCCCCCATCCACCAGAACGGCCGCTTTGCACCCAGCGGCTCAGCGCCTTCGCTTCGCGCCCGAAGGATGGATTTCTCACAAGTAGCGATCTTGCAGACGGTCAACGCCTGCCAGGCGCGTGGCACGATCGAGTCGTCCAGCCGGGCCGGAGCAGCCGATGTACTGGGTGTTTTGGGAGGTGTTTTCGATGCACCGAGCCCTACAAGTCAGGAACTGATCTCATGAAATACTGGGGATGGTTATAGAAAACCAATACTTAAGGAGGTCAAGTCGACCAGGAGACTGGACCTGGGTCAGACTGGATGCACGGAGGTTTTGGGGTGCGAAGACAAAGGAGGTTGACTCTTTTGGGGCTTTGTGGCTCCAACATGCTCCTCAGAGATCCAATGGTGGATTGTCCGGCAAGTACCAATCAGAGCAACTGAGTGTGGAGAACGCAACGACTCGAAGGAAAGGCCTTTTGGTCGCCCTGTGCATGCTACGTAGTTTTGCTTCGTGCAACAGATGCGATGTGGGACCCCGCCATTGACTGTGATCACTGATGATCACATCATCACTAAGAGGTCAGGAACCATCATTACTCCGTTCAGGAGGTCGGACCTGGCACCTGCAGCGGGTCATACGTTCGTGAACTGACGAGGTCGGACGAGACTGGACCGGAGGTCTCGGACTGGAGGTACGAGTCGGTACGAGCCCCTGTTTGATCCACCCAATTCTGCAGCAACTTCCCTTCAGTCTGACCTGGATGGTGAGATGTTCATGTTTTTTTTTCAGGCACTGCAATGTTTGGTACACCAGCAATCCTTTAGAGGATTCCGACCACCGTTGTGTTTTGGGGTTTTAATATTAAACAACCAGTCAGTGTTTTACAATATACATATATCAATCTACAAAGCCAACCATTTAAGGGTCATTGGAAGGCTATATAGAGAGTCCATTTGATGAATTGTTTAAAGAAGACGACATGTGGCAAACTCGCTAGGTCATGTTCAGAACTGACATGACCATTCTCGCTCGACCGGTGACCTCAGAAGCTAGCGTTGTGAAGAAGCTCAAGCTTCTTCACAACGTACTGATTCATTTGAAAAGACCGGCCCGCTCAATGAATCAGTACCCAGACACTCCATGGGACTGCCATATATGCCGATCAGGCCAAAGGGGGGGCCAGGGGGGTCAATGGGGCGGCGTCTATGGCAGTCCCATCTGTCGTGTCTGGGGTAGGTCCTTTCGCTACTCCGCCGCCGTTTTAACGAAAAAACCTTAAGATGAATATGCACCTATAAACGATACGGTAAGTCACCAGGTTGGGACCTAGGACCTCTACGGAAGTGAACTTTTGCAAGCTGGAAAAACACACAGATGAGCCATACATAATGTACGTCTCGAAACAGATGAGCCGTGATGAACCATCCCATAAAAAATGATGTACGTCTTTTTTAGGATAAGCCATCCTTGAAAAAATGTCCCCTATATATATATATATCCTTATATATATAGATATATACACACTGCATGTATCATAATACACTGTTGAACCTATGAACTGACCTTTGCATGTCGGCCGTGAAACAAAGTCTGTCGAAACCCACACCACAAAACCCTGAGGCTAACAAAACATCGCCCAACAAGCCATTCACTCCAGTAGTTGTGCGCTCATTCACTCTCAGTTTTGTTCACCTTGTGCACCAGCTTGCTGACAGGTCTTGTTGCACAAGCTGGACAGTTCTCAGGATAGTGTGGTGCAGAAGGTGGACACCCAAAAGGCGGACGGGTGAACGCCGCGGCTTCCTCACAGCCTCACCGACTCGGTGGAGGTAGATCTTCCCATCGACCCCTTTGATGTGTTAAACCCTACAAGTCAGGAACTGACCTCATGAAATACTGGGAATGGTCATACAAAACCAATACTTAAGGAGGTCGTCTATAGACCAGGAGACTGGACCTGGGTCTAGATCAGGTACGTACGTAGGGAAAGGGGTTATACTGACTCACCAAGTCCCAAGTCCCTCTCCGGTTGTTCGTTGAGAACGGTGAGATCGATCCACGGGCAGGTCGGTTTTGACAGGAAAGCGGTCGCATCGCCATCAACTACTGCTGGTTGTAGAACTGATTTTTTGTGTGGTTCTTTCTGTTGTTTAACGTTGTGGAAGCCCACAACAGGAGAGGCCTTGGCCTCCCCGCATCTCCATATAGACAACTGTGGATTTCTTGGACAGAAGTCCGACTCGGAGGCCAAGTGTTGCGCTTTTGTGGGTGGCTTTTGCCCAACAGAAAACATCCCGAAAGCATGGATTTCCACCTAAAGTGCTGCTCATGACACGACTAGTCACTAACTATATAGCCCTGGGAGTCAAAGGCGACAAAAAGAATGGTCTTTAGGTGACCCGAAAAGGAATATCCTTTGCATCAGTCGGTCAAAATATAGTCTTTGGACTTCTAGGGTAAGGATTATAATCCTTCCACCTCAATACTGGCAGAGATTAAACATCCTTCTGGGTCCATGTTCCATCTTGGAGGACAACAAACTGTAAGCCTCCTGCAAGCACCTGGAACCCGGACATGACCTTTGTTTTGAACTTGGACCATATTTTGGGTGGTTGGTCCAAAATAGAGGTCAGACTCAGGTTCTAGGCAGTTGATCCGACAGTTGCTGCGCCTCCAATCGCTGCCCATGCTGGGCCCCACGAAACGTGACGTGTGGCGTGCGAAAGAAACGGCGCAGATCGCTGTGGATAACCTGTTGAACAGCATCACTGGGGCCACGGACAACACCAAGCAGGACGGATCGGCGGCGTGCGTGGCGACGCCGAACTCTGTCGCTCAGGGATGGGTGGTGGTCGTTGGGGTGTGAGGATCTCAAGTAGGGCAGAGCAAAGTGACCTCACTTCTCACGGAAGTCTCACTCCTCACTCCTCACGGCAGACTTGTGTGATCCATCATGATCCAAGTGCTGTCATGAGGATAGTCCCAAGGTTGGCCCTGTGTTTGGCAGTGTACACCAAATTGTTTCAGTCCATGTTACGATAATTCGAAAATATTCAATATATATAATTCATTTATATAATATACTGGTTCATATGGTGTTCATATGGTTCTCTCTCTCTCTATACAGTTATATATCCTAGAACCTGAGTGACCCCTGTTTTGGAGCCCAAACATGTTTGTTGTTCCTCAAAACCAGAGGTCCATGTGTTCACTTCCGAGGCACTTCGAATCATCGGAGCGGTGAGACGGTCGGATCGGTGTCGAAAAGAACAACACACATCACATGGAAGTGCAGTTTGTCCCTTAGGAAGACTTAATTGATATTTATAATTAGCTCTATCAAAGCAGTTTGTTTTCCACTTCCAGGTGATGTGTTCACTGGAGTGGATGATCATCATTTCACACGGATGCGATCCATTCAGCTGTGGCGCGCGCCGCCCAGCTCTCCACTCCGTGAAAAAACCCGAGGCGCTCATGGAGACGGTGAACTCCTCCAGCAGTGTCCTCCTACAGAAGTTGGTGCCTCGCCAGCGTCGTTCGCGGTTCGCCTTCGATCTGTCGGGGCTCCCGCATCTTCCCGCTGGGAAGATCCTGAAGAAGACTGCACTACTTGCGTGGTAAAACATCACCTGAAAAGGTTGCTGAAGTGTTAGCCGAAACATGTTTGTGAACCTGGATGCGCTGAAAGCCTTGTAGGCTTATTTGACGAACACATCCAAAGTGCACCCTTTGACGAACACATCACATGGAAGTGGAAAACCACCACCTATTTGTATAGAGGAAAGTCGTCTTCCCAGGGAACTTCCCAGTGGCCATTGATGGACAGGTTTGGGTTCCGTCATCATGTAGCTGCTAGCCCTTTGTTGGTTCAAGTTTGGGCCTCTGTAGCTGTGATCGTTCACGGTCGAAGGCAGCAATTGTATTATGAGATTCAAGTATATGCAGAAGGTATATATAGGCAGAGATCGACTTTCTCACAGGAAATCTTTCGTTCCTCCTCTTTCTTAGAAAGGTGCTTTAGGATCCTAGGACATGAATCCCATCAGCTCCTGCTCCGTTCTGAAACGAAAAGACCTCCCCTTTCACACCACCACTGGGCTCCGTTCTCCGTTCGAACCACCTGCTCCGTCTCCGCGTGGACCACGCATGGAAATGCGCGCTGTGTCGAGGATGTGACGCAGCAGGATTTGTTGAAGCAATCCAAAGACTCCCATGAGCTGCTGGAAGGAGTGGCTACGAAGCAAACCGCCTTGGTCAAGCAGGCACAGCGGCTGGTACAGCATGGCACAGCCGCTTCCGTCAGTCACGACAGCGCGGAGTGGGAGTTTGTCCTGCGTGGGAACAGTAGAAGAGACACCGAGTGGATCATGGTGGAGTGAAAACATAAAGAAGATGAAAGAAGCACTTGTGCCTGGACCCTCCATTCGATCGGTGTTTCCGGTGTTTCCAAATCTTCGGTGCCCAAAAATCACCATGTTGGATTATGTTGGTCTTTTTTTAACATCTACCTTCCGGCCATCCTGGGTGGTTGAAAGACTTCCACATAGCCGCTGCGTTCTTCAGGTCCTGAAGTCTAGAGTATCTAAGAGTTGACGCTCTATGAAACCTTTCATTTCCTAGATAGTCGTTGGGTCGGGTTCTAAATCTTCTTCACGTCTTTTCACAACCTTCACGTCTTTGAAAACCACGGAACTGACTGTTGGCCGCGTGATGTCGTATGATGTGAAAGAAGTCGTATTGCCTTTGACAGCTTGATGACCGGTGTCTCCGTTGCGCTTGTCCTTGACAGCGGTCGGTCTTTGTACCGATGAAACACCTGTCCCAAAGAAAGACAGACAACTCCATGGCATCGAGTTGTGTACATTGGGGTGGTTGAAAAGGGATCCAAGGATTCAACTTCTGAAAAACAAAAAAACACACACACATCAACGGCTGTGGGTGGGAGACCGAAAGAAAGAACCTAGCAGCCAGGTCGACCTACCAGTTTCTGTTTTAAGCTCCAGGAAGTTTGGACCCATCCCCAAATGGCACCCAACACTCTGACCTCGCAACACTTTGGGCCTTCACAGCAAGTCGATGCTCGTGTTGCGAGGTGGACTCCGGCCATGAGTTCACACGGAAGCGTTTAGTGGTGCCATGGCCAGTGGAAGTCGGGTGGGACGGAGAGATACGGAGAGGGAGTGGGGGGAGTGGGGAGGATTTAACACGGATGCTCATGATGACATTTCCTGGTGGGGCTGGAACTAACATCTCTTAGTGAAGATGCATCAATTGAGAGCTGCAAGGGTCTCCACAAGTTCCTGCTTTGGTGGGGGGGCAGATTCTGTGGAACATGTGTTGATTTGGAATGAGATGGCTGTGGGTCATGGCACCCAGAGCTCTAAACTGACCCAAACATGGGTTGACCATGTTTGGTCAGTCGTTTAGTCTGTTCATGTTGGGTGGGAAAACGTCCCTTTTCCACTCCATGTATATCACATTTGCCTACATTGACCCCTTTCAGCCATCCCAATCTGGGCAAATAAACTGTTCATAACATAAAAACAAATATTGGAATATGGAGCGTCTAAACAAACAAACACTGGTGTCCAAAAGTTCTGGAGTGTAAAGCCCGTCCCATGTTCCCAGGTCCTAGGGTTGGGACTTGTATGCCAAAATCTACCCCTACAAGTCAAAAGACCCAGAAACCTGTTTGTCTTTTTACATCCTTAAGTATTGGTTTTGTATGACCATCCCCAGTAAAATGAGTTCTTTGACTTGTAGGGATTCATTCTTCGCCATTCACAACGGACAATGGTTTGGATATTCCCCCCAGTTCACCTCCGCGGCGGCCGAACGCCCCGCTTTATCGCGGTGTTCCCCACGACTTGGGCACGATCTCTAAGGAGATGGAAGGCACCTTGGAGCGAAGGATCACCGACAGCTCCGATGAGCTCCGCAAGGCGGCCGACGATCGGCGCGACCGCCCGGCGCGCGCGCGGACAGCGCCGGCACGGGCGGTGGGTGCTGCCAGCACGGGGGGTGATCTTCGATGGGTCCCACGGTGGAAGCGGCACGTGCGAGGGTTGAAAGCAAAAACCTCTCACCAGGCACGTTCAGAGTTGGAACGCCATGTATAAAGACCTTCCGTTGTCCAGTAAAGTGACCCCAAACGGAAGCCAGCTGGTCTGTTGGGCTATGAAGGATGGGTCGAAGGGCTCGTTCTATGCTTCGAAGGGCTTAAGATGTGGCTCCATGAAGGTCTTCGCACTTTCGCCACTCGAGAAGAGCCGAAGCAACTCAGTAGATGCAAATAAAGCCATGAGAAGCCTCAGTGGACGTGGGTTGGTGGCTCAAAGGGGGTTGGCAGCCCAGAAACCATAAGGAGATAGTTCACCCCTTGAGTTAGGCTTTCTGGATGATTGAATTGAAGACGTGCATTGAAAATTGAAGTTTGACAGGTAGAGGACTTCCCTTTCAAGATCGCGTGTTGACGACTTGCTGTTTCTGCTTGTCTCAAACTGAAGACAAGCACCTACTGGAGGAGGCACCTACTTGGGGAGACAGGTTTTTTTCAGCCGAGAAGGCGTCGTGAAAACGACGCAGCCCGGGCTGTTGGCCAAACGATGTGAGGCATGGGATGAATCGACCGAAAGGCATGCACACATACCTGCCACTGTGCCGCCTCTATCCGACTCTCCCTTTCTCATCGGAAGTTGGGTGAGATCTTCAAGGCCCGCCCCATTCTGGCAGATCCCATCCTCCCATCCTCCAATCCAGCAACTGACTCTGGAGGACCAACAGGAGAAGTCGGAGAAGCTCACCACGAACGTCCCTTGCCACTGGCGGCCGAACAAATCCCAGTTGCTGATGTGATGTGCATGTATACGTTTGTTTGTCTTAAGTGAATCTGGAACAGCCAAACTTCGGGGGACAAGAGAAAAAGGTTGCTTGAAGATCAGCTCGTGACCATGCATTTTGGGCCTTCGGACTGTGGCGCGCCTAATCCGGGCACCCTGCACTGCCCGGTGCACCCAGGTGCAGGGCGCCCTGAAGTCCTTGGCCGAGCAATGCAATGCCATGGCAGAGACCACCGAGCGGGCCACCGCCACGCAGGAGGCGGGGCGGGAGAGGTGAGGAGTTGGGCGCCGGTGCTTCTTGAGAAGGAGGACGAGGCGCATGACAAAAGCATGACTTGAGAAACTCAGGAAAACAACAAAGTGTAAGTGCACGGATCATGTTATAGAAGAGATTAGACGAGTACAGTTCTTTCGCCCTCATTCTTCCATGCGCGCTTCGTCCACTTCCCCGCTGTCTCTCTCCCTGTTTCCGCTTGGGGACCGATCTTCACGGCGGCGCTCCATCCGCTCCAGCAGGAACGCATGGTGGATGTGCGCCGACAGACGATGCTGATCATGGACCTGGCGACCTGGCGACCGACACGGACCGAGACGAGACGGAAGGACCTGACGAGACGAGACGACCTGGAGAGTGCTTGGAGGTTCTGGTTTTCCCTACAAGTCAAAACCAATACTTAAGGAGGTAAAAGACCAGGTTTTTACTGGGTCTTTGGACTTGTAGGGTTTATATGGTTTGAAGGGTCAATGCCACAAGTACCCACGCCCGGATCTGCGACAAGGAGCCTTGAACATGAGATGGTCCCGGGTTCCGGGGTTTGTCCAAGGGGATTTGGATGGATTTGGGCCATCGACGGAGCACCAGACAGTGTTTGACCCAGATCGTGGGGACTGGTACCGAGCAGTTGGATTTCAGGGGTCAATGATTGCCGTATATACCAACGGGGCAGGCCGGGTGTGTGTTTCGTGTTTGAAGCGTACAAAGCACATTGTCAAATTCTTCCGACTGTTGCAGATAGACTGGACGCGTTGTTTCAAACGACGCGTGGCGCCTTCGTTCTCTATGCTTTGCGTTCATTGATTAGTCTATGATCTACATAAAAGAAGCAGGACACGGGAAAGATCAGCTTCCCGACTGGATTGGCAGCCAATGAGCTGAGCCATTTTAACAGTGATCGAAGGCCAACACCCCAAATTTGACAAACACCAAGAAAGAGGAGGCTTGAAGATAGTCTTTCAATGCCTTTTGTTCTGGTTCTATGCCGGGGTACCAGAAGAACAGAGTCATCCAAGTTCCTCTAAGTGTGGACCCCCTCTCTACATGGGAAGTCTAAATGGAAAGCTGGATCACAAGATATCTGAGCAACGACTTAGCACGACTTAGCACGCAGTTTCTCCTCTCTACTTAAATACATCCAACATTTGCAACCGGCCCAAAGCGCGGCGCTTGCGCACTCCAACACACCTGCTCACCTCACCTCACCGAAGCTCGTCCAAGGTCTCCAACACCCAGGACTCCATCCAACAGAGTGCCAACAGCCTCGAGAGCTTCACACGTTCCCTGGGTTTGGAGAGAAGACACAGTGAGAGTGACATGTGAGGGGAACCCCAGTTTCTGGGTTGAAGAGCCCCGTCTCGGGCACTTTGGGCAAGATGTGGGGCTTTACAAAGCCCGGGAGTAGGTGGGTTTTGTGTGTTTTCCCCGGTTTTGGGCGCCGCATAATCCTGAGGTTCGGAATACATGCAGCACTCCTCCGCCAACTTGGCGCCTGGGTCGGACGACTGGGGCGGACGAGGTCGTTGGGGTTTGGGGGGGTTCACGGGAGTGTTTGGTGCATATCTCCTAGGCATGGGGACTTGTTACTTTCTCCCTCAAGCCGATCCCAGAGGGTCTGAAGTTGGCATTTCTGCCAGAAGTTCGGCGCGGTTGTTGCGGCAAAGATGGGCGGGATGGGGCTGTGCGATGCTATTCAGACATTTGGGAAGAGGGAGGACAAGAGATGAACAGATTCCTTTTTGGGGGGGTGCAACAGTTTTAGTGTCAGTGTGAGGTAGCCGTGTCGGAGAGTTACAGATCGAGCACTAGACTACGTACGTTCACAGCCGGGATGGATTCGAGGGGTGAGCAGTGCAAAACCTCGTCGTGTTTGGGACGTTCGTTGTTGGAAAAGATCCGCTTGGATTCGGCCGCCGTCTTCCATGACTAGTCGACCATGCCATGCCTTGTTCACCCAAGCCTGTATTCTGGTTGTTGCAGTCCGAGTCCCATCAACAGCTATTTTAGGCAGAATTGGACCAGGAGCTCTTGCAGAAATTGGAATTAGACGAGGTTCACAATTCATTCCAGAAGATCCAAGTGAGAAAGCAGACGAGTTGTCACGCATCGTTGGCCTTGGCTGTTGGCTGATTCATATAGAGAGGATAACCCCCATGCATCGCATCGTGTACAAACGATAATGATTCGAAGCACTGACCCCTTGGTTCTTCCCATGGTAAGGTCAGACGCCTTTGGTTCACTGCAGTTTGCCCCAATCTTTGGAGTCCGACCTTGTCCCAAGTGGGTTGCGGGGATGTGAACCCCACACACTTGAAGAAACAGCATCCCAGCGACATTGTTTGGCTGAAAACCGTGAAAGGCCCCTCTTGTAAGTTCTCAATCCAATTCGGGCTGGGGCTCCAAACATATGGAGTCCCCCCAAGAAAACATCGGCCGCCATGGCGGGTTGACAAGATGTGGGAAATATATATTGGTGTATATTGGGGTGACCCCACCTAATATATGATCAATTGACAGGCTTTGGGATGGTTTGGATTGATTCTTCCTTTTCAAGGAGGTGAACTTTGGAGGCTTCCCGGACTTCCAAATTCACCACCAACTTTGGCTAATGGAGTAAACATGAGTAAACAATTGATTTGTTCTTCAATGTGGAACCTTTTGAACAAGTTGGACACCCTTGTTCTTGTTCTAGGGCTTCCCAAACAAGGCCCTCTCCCTGCCTTTGACCGCCTGCCCACTTCAGTCAGCTGCTCGCCTTCTCTCGGTTGGCTTCGCCGCTCCCCACCGTTTTCTCGCTCTGCCGCAGAGCCAAGCCGAGCTGAGGAGATGAATCTCCGCGAGGTCATCGTCAAGCAGCTGTCCGAGGTCCAACCGACGCGTCGGCCGGTCATGGCGGTCCGGCGTGACGTGGCGGTCGGGTGGGCGTGACGTTTTTGCGAAAAAACACATGAAGAGAGTCTGTGTGGCGAAAGCGGAAGATCCATGAAGTCTGAAGTGGAAAACTCCAAGTCCACTGAGAATATACAAGAAGGCTGGGTTTGGTCTTGGGTTTGCACAGTGAATGGTATACTATAGCATTCCCAGACGCTCCATGGATGGCATACTTTACCTACATTGAGGTGCTTTCCGGGGACAATACTTATATAGGTAAAGACTCCATACATGGAGCGATTGCCATTAATGACATGCACCGCGACTCTAGGAGTGGTATGTGAGCATTGATGAACAACCGGGCCTCACAGAGTCCAGACAGAGCTGCACATGTTGTCACATATCTCATTTTTTTGAAACGTGGTGAAGCTGCATGTGGTATCATTATCTGGGTTTGGTTTTGCTTACATGGCTTGATAAGTGCATGTTTGTTGCTGGTTTAGTTGTTTTTTTTTTTTTTTTCTGGTTTGACTTATTAGTAGAAGTGTTTTGGACCATTGACTATTAAGACGGAGATGTGTTCGAAGGTTGTCATCCATGGGTGCCCTTCGGATTTTCCGTTGCCGACTCATCATGCAAAACCAAGGATATCTCAGTCATTCTCAGCCTTTGGTTTTTCGTTAACCAAACCTTGAAAGCCATATCTCGAGAATCATCATCAAAAACATGTTCTCATTCCACGCAGCCAATCGACATAGGAAAGGGATGCCGATTTCAACAGTTGCCCTTCCATCATTTTCCATATAGGAAGAAGAGGCACTCCAGAAAAAATGCAGATCTGAAGTTGCTGATTGAATCTTGGGGTGCTAGACACAGAACGTGAGTGAGCACAGTTCCAGCGCGCAGAGCGCGCAGAAAAAACTGGTGCTTCCCGTCCCACCGGCCAACCTGGCGCAGAGAAAAATGCAACCCCACCGAGGTCCAATGACAAGAGTTGCAGACATGAGGCGACCCGTTCGGCCCCAAAGCAACCACGTGCTGCATGTTTGTGGGGGTGAAAACCCTATAGCTGCATGTGAGGGTCGAACGAGCCTGACGAAGATGCAATTGGTTCGCACCAAAGTCGTGTGGAATCACTTGAGATCCTGGAATCGATGATCATGTATCCAGTTTGCCCGACTTCCAGGTCAAGGAAAGCCTTTTGGGCGTGAACGGTGGCACTGCGACCTGGCATGTGCGAGGTCGTTCAGGTGGTCGTTCAGGCTCTGGTGCGACCACCGGGATCCACTGCCACCGTACCGACCTGGTTCGGTACGAAGTGCTCTTGGGGCCGAGGCTTCATCCCATCACTCTATCATACTCTATCGATTTGTGGTGGAAGTGGAGCCATAGCCCAGGATCAATGGGACACGGTTGTTCTTCCATGGTCACATACTGTGTCACATACGAACCAAGCCGAACCTGACTATAGAATCCAGTTCCGGGGCCTGGGTTGGTCCTAGTTGGTTTTTGCCACTGAATCGGCATCATGTTCCTTTCGAAGTCCAGTGATGACTCACCCCCTCACAAGTGGTGGATCACTACCAGTTGGGGTCCGACTCTTCAGCTCCAAACACATCCATTCGGGCCCCGCGTTGTCCCAAGGACACCAACTTGAAGTCGGCAATCGCGGCCATGGTGGAGCGCTTAGACGAAGGGGTCCATCGCTTAGAACTGGCCTCCTCACAGGGCCAAGGCACCTCACGCAGCGAGCGCTCGTGGGGTGCGGTGAGTGCATGGAATGGGAGACGGAGCTCGTTGTTTGGGGACCGGGAGATGGGATGGTTGGTGCTTGGATTCCGTGACTATCCATGGCTGGGTTGCCTGGTTTCGATGGGAGTGAAATCTTGAGGCAACGGTAGGGAACATATGTCGGTCATGTAGACCGATAAAACCACATATTAATATAATGGTATAATTCAAATCTGGAATTTGTTAACCAAGAGACTACAGTTACATCAACCAGGTGCATCCATCGTGCCTAATACTGTAGGATCTTCCAGTGCCTCCCTACCGCAGAAACATGCGACGTAGACTTCATTGAGGCATGTGAAGCTTCATGTGAGTGAAGGTATCTGAAGGTGCAAGGTACCTGGACCCTCAAGGTACTCCTAAAGTGAATATATGACAGTGATACCCTTAGACAGGGTCAAAGTACTCCTTCTAAGGTATGTCAGTCAGTGTCAGTGGAGTCATACCTGTTTTTGTTGGGTTCGGATCCTTCGGGTGATGGCTGCACCCCTTGATTCTCCACTCTTCTCCTGTTGGATCGGTGCGTTCTTCTCATGACTAGGACGTTTGGCCACAGATTCTGACTGTCTGAGGCCAGACCATCCAAATCCTATCCCAATACCGGATCATTTCTGGACAAAACTCCTTAAACCGCTTCACGGCCATTGTTGGCAAAAGATCGTTCACAGTCTACGGCATGGTTCCAGTGCCAAATCGGCTTTGGCTTTGTCCCTACGTAAATTCACCCGATTCACCCCCAAAAAGTGTGTGTGTGTGTCTTTTTCTTTTAAGAATGATTTTTGAGAGATTCTGATAGCTTCTTTTTTGCCATACCAAGGTCGCCCCAGGTACCTTCTTTTCGGATGTGCCCAGCCCTATCCAGCTCCGAACCTGACCAGTCGTCGGCTCGACAGGCGCCACGTCTGACGCTGAGCTTTTGCGGCAAGAGCTGCTGGGAGTGGCCGAGGTGCTCTCGCAGCAGCCGCTTGGGCAGCCGAAGTCGGTGGGACGAGCTGCTGGGAGGTGCCTGAAGGGGTGGCATTTGAATCATAAGACCCCCTCGACCCATAGACAAGAAGCTACGAACGGGGCTCCTGGCATCGCTACTAGGAGCAAGGACGCTACGAACGCGGCTCCTGGCTAGGAACAAGTAGCTACTTAAAGGTCCACCGATAGGCTCCAAGTGAATAGGCTCCGGCGTGTAAATAGGGAAACCCCCTGGCCCGAGGCTTAGCGAGGTCGGTCTCCCTATTTTTTCAGGTTGTGTCAAAGCACTGCTGGGACCCTCTATGATTATAGACCTTTTTTTTTTTCATTACCCATTTTCCAGGGCCCCTATTACTCGGACGCGACCTAATGGGACTGAAATAAAGAAAGGCGCCCCATGGAACCCCATGCAAATCAACCACCTCAATGTAAGTAAACTACTCCATACATGGAGCGTTTCGGCATGTTTCTTATGGATCCAGCCCCTCATTCCTTAGGAGTCGCACCTAGTCAGACCCTGCGCCAGTGACTTGGTGTTTTTGTCCACCTCCAAAAGAGCCGGTGATCAGATGGTCGCTCCAAAGCAAGCTGAGCAATCCGAGTGGAACAACTCGAAGTCGCAACCAGAACTCGCAGCAAGCTGAGGCAGCAAGACGTGAGCAGCCAGAACTTGCAACAGGTGGGTGAACTCCTCCGCACTGAGCTCTCATCCTTTAAGGCGCGGGCGGAGGAGAACGTCGACCGACTGCGAAGCAGTTTTTGTGAATTCAGATCACCAAGTTCTGCAGCTACTCAGCTGGCCGAGGTCCCGGAACCCCTGTGAACAAGGGAATGGTTTTGGTAGTCTGCTTTTGTCTTGACGGCCCAATTGTATTTAAGACTATTATATTTATATAACATGATACAACAATCTGCCATGGTGGCTCCAAGAACAACCAACGCATATCATGTAGATTCATGTATAGTACGCATTGTAAACTCTTCCAGAATCCTCACTGCCAGGTCACCAATGGTTCGACCTCCAACAGGGCCCTTCCCAACCCTGGAATCAAAGAAGACCTGGCAGTGAAGATCCTGGTATAGCTGGAATCTGGATCTGTATATCATATATCTCAGTAACATCCAGTAACAGATCATCGTCTAACGACCATATTTCCGCACACATAGATCATTGATATCATTGTTTACGGCTGCCCTGAGTAGCGACACACGGATCCGAGTCATCCTTAGAATCTATATACTCAAAAGCCACATCAGACCTGCTGGAGGCTGCTGGTCCATGCTTGTTTCTCACAACGGAACCCGCTTTGTGTCGGCCCACACCCCCCAGTTTGGGGCTGTTCCAGCCATCCCCCACCGAACCCGTGCTCGGGACCCGACCTGGAGCGCCAAGGAGACGCAGGAGGCCCAGTCCACGGAGATCTCCACGAAGCTCAGCGAGAAGGTCTCCGAGTTCTCCGACCAGGTGAACCAGACGCTGTGCCCAGTGAGTCGAGGGGACGGTTTTCGGGGGGGCGCGATGGGAAGGGTGGGAAGGCACAGGTGTGGCGAGCGATGGGCCGTGGAGACCGAGGGCCGTGGAGACGCGGCGTAGGGAAGACTAGTCAAGTGAAGGGCCGTGGTCGTCCGCTTTTTTGGGGCTCCAGGAAGTGGGAATATGGAGCGAGTGAAAACTATGATTTATTGAGGTCTTGAAACAAACCACCGGGCCATGGTATAGGTGAAATTGGTTTGTCCTCACCAAAGCACCTGGGGCCTGGCACGCTTCATGAACCCCTACAAACATCTACAGACACCATTTCGGCCCTTTGCCTCTGGCATGCCTCACAAGGTGCGGAGTCTGTGGTGATAGATATTATAGAAACCACCCTCCTCAGTGGTCATAGTCAAGTGGCTTGTGGTTTGTGTTTCTTGTGAACCAAACGTGGTGCGACTTCATGTGTCTGTGCGGTCACAAACAGGAAGACCAACCAGGCACGAGGGTGCTGACCAATCTCGATCGTGGCAGGATTGCATTTCTCCATTCCCCGTGTCTCGTAAGTGAAACCATTCCGGTTTAGTCCAACAAACTCAACTAAACAACTAAGTAAAAAACGCTCAAGCCAGGGGGTCTTTCAGCCTAGCTGCGCCTAGCTTCCTAGGTTGACCCATCTCTGCTAAACACGGGCGATCTGTCGGACGCGCTTTTTCGCGTCCGCCCAGCGGAGGAACACCCCGGTCCCCCGACACTGCGAAGGACCTGTTTTGGAGGAACACCTTGCCAAGGACGGATCCTGGTTGGAAGGCCAAAGGGATGAGGTCTTCTCTTCAATGCGATGCCACTTGCCACTCAGCTCCCGCCGTGGTTCGCGCCGCGCCTGTTTGTCGCGCTGAGGAACCTTGCCCGCGTCGAGGCCAACCTTGACACTGGGAAAGAGAAGGAAAAGGAGTGGAGGAAGAGGGGCCTGCAGATCATTCGGAGCAGATATTTGATATCTATGGCTCCAACATCAGTTAGTCGAGTTTGTTACCTCCTGGAAAATTGCAGAACAGGACGAACACCAACGGGCCCTCGATCTTTTTGAGCCATCCCGAGGCCCATAGAAGGATTTTACAGTAAGCTTGTGTCAGGGACAAGTTTCATATAGCTAACCAACTTGTTTCTGAGATGTTTGGGATGTTTTTTGCGATTAAGTTCTATTGCTCACTCTTCAAACTCTTGATTGTCATACATTCCAAGGATTGGAATGTGGCTTATGCTTGTGAGTTTGGTACATGTGATGTGTTTTTATTTTTTTTCTCTTGATCTATACGTCCCAAATCAGCTCACCATCATTTTTGGAGATCGTCGAGTCATGAAAGAGAATCCCGTTTAGGCTTCGTGAGGCACGGTTTGAAATTGTTTAAACAAAGACTATAAGAACATCCTACTATCATCCTACGTAGTCCCACTTTGTCAGTACTTTCAGTTCCAGCCCCACCAGCCGTTCTGACCTCTCCCAAAAAAGAACCTCAAAAATCCGTTGCAGAAAGCCGATCCGAGTGACTCAAACAAGCTTTCGCTCCAAGGACAAGATTCTGGACTCTAAGGGAGAGTCTCGCACGGACGGCACACGCCGACGTGCCGAGCGCGGCTAGGTCCGTCGTCGCGCCCAATTTTTTATCTCCGGCCATCCGGGGGGATCGACCTATGCAAGATCCGGTGGTGGCTATCGCAAGATCCGGTGGTTCAAGAGCCACAGCTTTGGTCCAAGCACTAGACAGAAATGATGAAAAAGGTCGCTGTTCAAGGTCGTGCTTTTTAGGATGACAGAGATTGGGAGCTCGAATCTTGTGAAACTATATACAGTCCAGGATCTTCAGCTCATGACCGAACTTGAGATCCCGGGAACGTCCCCCAGCGGATCTCGGATGGTTCTTGGATGGTAACCACAAGGTCATGGGGGGTCTATAAACCAAGTTTTGCTTGAAAAGGTGAACATTTTATCCATGCGGGTGAATTGTCCCTCTGGTGGTGAATATGTCGTTGTACTCTTCCCGCTTCTTGAAGCAAATCCAAGTAAACCACCCTGCAGAAAAAGCAGGGGTGAATTGATCTTGCATGGCCGATGATGTACTAGACTTGTCCTCGTTTTCCACCGCTTCCCTAAGCTGGTCGAGAAAGAGAAGCACCTTTCGCAGCATCAATATGCGATAGGAGGCGACACTTCAAGCACTGAAAGTGGATTCTTCCAGCCTTGGAAGCTGTGGAAACAGACCCGGGGAGAGAATCTCCCAATTTTCTGCGCCAAATCTTTCGCTGCAGATCAGACCCACAACCTCACTCGCCCGACAACCGTCAACCCGCGTGCAGCCCAGTTTTTACCGGCCCTGGGCGGGCTCCGAAGCCTAGGAGTCTGGTGGAGTGAGCAAAAACTGGTCCTCCGGAAGCATGTCGAAGTTGGGAAAGTTCGGATACGCCACCTCTACATCAAAGATCCCAACAAGCGCCGGAGGCATCGTGCCGGATGCATTCTTGCACAACTTCTCGTCCTGGCCGGTATAGACTTATACGATCTTATGTTACCCACTGATGCGACATGATGTGACATACCCCGACTCAGTCGTCCTATCAAGAGACTTCTCCACCAGTGGTTGCCACAAGTCGGCTCGACTTGCAGCGACCACCGCCCGCAAGCTGCAGGACTGTGCCGTAAAGGCCCTTCCAGGCCCTCTCCAGCACATGGTCCCAATCTCCAATGTTTGGAGGTTTTGCAGCGCGTCCCTCGAGCACTGTCAGACGTGTTTCATGTTGTTTGGGGGGTCCTTTTGCGCATGTCAATACACATCGCATTTCCCTTCAGCCCGGGGGACTCCGATCCGGCCGCGCCACGTGCGATCCGCGCCGAGAGCCCGGCGCCGAGCACCGTTTTGGCCGGGCTGCTTTTCGGCTGTGAGGGCGAGAGTGCACCCGCGAGAAACATCCATCCGCGGGTGAGTCGTTTCTTTGCGTTGGCGAGAGGTGATTCTGGTCAACCTGACTTCGGAAATGGTTCGGGTTGGCGGATTAGAATAGTTTGGGTGCCTCCTCCAAATCCTTGTTCTTTGAACGTGATTCCATGTGTAGTTCAAGAGCTTCAGTGGCTTGAACGTCATTATACTCTCCCTGGAACTAACATGGAAGTGGAAAACCACCTGTTTGTAGTGCATTTCATGGTCTTCCTTTCGGGGCCACATCCACTTCCATGTTAGTTCCAGGGAGTGTACTTCCAAGATGTTCCCAACTGACGTCTTCCTTCTATCCGGACGTCGGAGCATCGCTAGCAGACCTGACTGTGGTTGTTTAACGAAACAGAGTCACAAGACCTGTTTGGGGGGAAACGTTTGGGGCCAACAGTCTCAAACGCTCAAAAAAGCTCCGGACTTCTTTGGGTTGGACTATTTTGGATCAAACTGCTCAACCGCTTAGCCGCTTGTTTCAACTTTCAACACGGGGCGGAAGGGCCGGGGACGTTTGCCACCCACTTCCGCCCCACTCGAGGAGTCACTGCGATTTTGCATCCCGACCACAAGAACTTCAACGAGACGGAGTACGCGGCCAAAGGCTTCGGACGCGGAGTACAGCCGAGGTATACGCGGAGGTATACGTGGAGTACGCGTTGGGTGCGACCCTGGAAATCCCTGGAAGGTTGACCATGTCTACCAGGTACTACAAAAAAGTAGTTACTCAAAAGATCTCAAAAGGTACACATTACAAGATTGTACACAAGTAATATATACAGTATATAATATAATATATATACAGTCTACCTGTTGAAACAGGGGCATTCCCATGTTAGTCTAGGGTATTTTGGAGGGTCTAGGTGGTAGTCTATTCTGTTCATGTTGGGTGGGAACAACCCGGTCTCCAAGTTCCTGCTTTGGTGGGGTCAGATTCGGAACATGTGTTGATTTGGAATGAGATGGGTCATGGCACCAGCCCGTTTCACTGACCCTTGTAGGTTGACCATATCTTGTAGGTCGTCTATTCCGAAGTTTTCTGTTTAGTACCAGAACCCTCCAAGGGGTGTCCAATGAACTACCCCACACTAACTATAGGCTTCCATTGGGCACCCCTTGGAGGGTCCTGGTATGTTTTGTTTTGTTGTTTTGTTCCGCAGTGCCATGACCCACAGCCAGGTGTGAGGAGCTTGGAGATTTCATCACCAAATCCGACAGGTTCTCTTTCCCTTGGTCCATTGGTCCGATTTCTTGAACGTGGGTTTTCTCCCGCATGGGGAACGATGATTTCCATATGTCATTTGTTTTCCCTGGCTTCGACTGCAAGTCATTGTTGCGATCATTTATATATACCCCTGTCATAATATATAAGATAGAACAGTAGATCTCCATGTTCAGAATGTATTGGAAGCCGTGCCACGGTCATCTATTATGTGGGGTGTACGCAATTGGTTTTCCATGGTTTTCCTGATTCAGGATTTGAACTCCAATTACACCATCACCCTGTGTTTCACGCATTTCACTCCCAGTACGCCATGCTCCATTCCACCGCAATTGACGCTGGTTGGAAACCTGCGACCTCGCCAGGCATCGCTGCGTCTCGTTGTTTGGCCTCGTGCTGCACAGTGGATTGGTACAGTTGGACCCTCCACGGCCCCTGGGCGAAGAGAGGAACGTGCGACGATCCGGGCCGATCCGGGGCCAAGTCCGGCGGCGATTCCGGGGCCGCGCAACGAAAGCAACCGGCTCTCCGGGCTCGATCCGGACGGCCGGTCGAGATTCGGGAGATCGAACGGCTGCCGGGGCTGCGGCCAGTGCGTCGACTCGCCGCGGGGTGAACCCGCGTGGGTGGAAAGCAGGTGGGTCCTGGGGGTGGGAGTTCGGCAGGCCCCAGAGCGTGGTCCATGGTCTTAAGGTCCGCTTGCTGAAGAGAAGAACTCCCGCTTGCCGCCCGGAGATCAGAGTCTCAAACCAATCTCCATGTCGGATAGTAGTGTAGCCCAGCCAGGACATCCATTGGACATACAGAGAGGATGGCCCATGGAATCATGGAATGTATTTACGTTGACAGAGCTGTTGGTATCCCAGCTGGTGGAGGAAGCCTTTCATCCTGGCAATGGACATAATTATACCTTGACAGAGGGTCTTATTGTTGACCCTGCTTTGTGAGGGCTTTGAAGCAAACCCGGACTTCAGACGAACACTTGGGCTTTGATTTGCTTCAACCAAAGCGCAGAAAAAAAAAGGTCGCCATAGGAAACAAGGAAGCGGATCCAATCCCTTGGACGAGATTTTTCCTGGCAGCATTTCACCGAAATTTCCATCAGCTCCTTACCTACAGAGGTTAAGTGACCTTATAGGACCCTACAGGGGTACCTATAGGATAGTCTATAGGGTTCTTCAACCTCTGCTCCTTCAACGTCCCACCATCCCCTTCACCGCACTGTCCTCGTTCCGCACAGGCAATGTCTTCGTACCAAACGAGCACATCATGATTGATCAGGACCAGCACGCACCGCCGGGTATGGGCTGGGCGTCCTCTCCGTTGAAAAGCAAAAAAACTGGAGTCAAGGGGTATATGCATGGTCGAACATGATGAATGCTTTGCAAAGGGTCTAATTTTTCCTAAGATGCTTTGCAAAGGGTCTATGTTCCTAAGTCTGAAGGTGTTCTTTTGGAGATCATTTTTTTGGTTGTGTTGACTTGTTTCGTCACGCCATGACACGCTAACAGACGTGAACTCGTCACCCCCTGTTTGTATTCGGAAAGTCGTCTTTCCAGGCCATGCATATGCATGGCCATGCCATTCTATGTTTGTCAGGGTGTATCGCTTGCCGCTGGTGTAGGCGGACTCTCCGAGACGGCTGGGTGAACTGACGTCTCTGCCCATAACTATCCACGGGACTGGAATTGATACCGCCCCATTGACCCCCTCCAACCACCCCACCCCAATGTAGGCCATTTATCGCAAAATATCGTACATATAGGTCATACATGGATGGTCTGGCCTGCATTGGGGAGACATGGGGCTGTCACGAGACGCGTCTCTTCGCAACTTCAACCCTGGTCAAATGAGTTCTATATATATATATATACTCTAGCCAGGGCGGAGGACCTCTCAATTGATCGTATTCTGCTGTGGTGTGTGCTGCTTGTAGCGGTGCAGCTGCTGTGCCCTGACCTTGCTTTGATCAGGACACATGGGTCCGGGGGCAGCATGTCATGTCACGACAGTTCTTCATGTCGTGATCGACATCGAGTGTTTCAGATGTCGATCTCCAGAACGCAGAACGTCCAGAACGCGCTCGAAGAGCTCACGCACCACCGTGATTTCGGGTGAAGGCACTGTTCGTATCGCCCGACGGACGGGCGAACTGTATCGCCCTGAAGACGCCTGAAGCAGGCGAAGCATACATGCAGTGGACCCGGAGGACCATCCTCCCCGCGGAACTCCGCGGAGTTCCGGGCGGCCGCATCTCGGTTTTCCGAGGCCTCCGCTACTGGTTCTTTCCCATTTGTGCCCTTGCTTGAGTGATCCCAGTGTTCAAATGCCCGTTTGACGCTGTTTCTATCTTGAATTCCTTAACCGCTATGCAATCAAGCTATTTTTGCCCTTGTGGACTCCCCCACTCGCATGGTCCTGAGTTCTCATGCCTCTCTAGGACTTGCCCACCGGCGCCAACCAAGCGGCCTACGGCAGCTTGGCCTCAGCCAAGGCCGCCTGCGAAGCCTTGGGCGCAGTGCAGTGCCACTTGGCCAGCCATGAATGGGCCATTGCCATGCGTGTGGATTGCCAAAGGTGACGGACTTATTTGGATGTGTTGCGGTTTTGGTGACTTCAAGGATACTCTTTACCCGGGGAATGACTTGTACTTCTGGTTGGATTCGGTTCTTTTTTGAGAGGTTTCACGCGCCAAAAAGGGCCCAATGACCTTCGAAGAGGATGTACTTGGAGCCACATATAGGAGACTATATGATATGCTATAGATAATATATATATGTGTGTTTACATGTCTTCAGGGAGTAGCAATACTGGACCGAAGTCTTCATGGTGGAAGGTTGTCACCTTTCAGAAGACTTTCCTTCAGCAAGTCGACCACCCCCAGGTGGGGAGTGGCCTCGGGGCACATGATGCATGTTCGAAAAAAAAGAAGGAAGAAACAAGGTTGACAAAACACACATATATAAAAAAAAAATATATTCAAAGAGTTTCCTGAGGTCTCACACCTCATGATGCCCATTTCATCCCATTTCAGCGAGTTCATTGAAATTTGTCAGTGAGTATGCCAGTGAGTCATTTGCGCTTCCAGTTGGCCGCTGGCTTTCTACTTTCTTCCTTCAAACACGTCACCTTAGCGCTGTCAATTCACAAAACAGCGCTGCACAAAGAAGGGAGTTCAACGAAACTCAATCCCAAAGACTAGTCGCAGCACCTGTGATGGGCGGCTCATTGGGTGGGTCCGACACGAGCACGAAGACTCACCATCCGACACGAGCGAAGACTCCGCACGCGACGAATGCACGGTGGTTGAGGCTTCGGTATTTATGATGCCAACTGCGATGGTGCCAGCCAGGAGAGCGAAAAAGCGTTCGACTCACTCATATGTTTAAGAGAACAACACTCTTCTTAATACCTCAACCTCAAAGAAGCTGGTTTCAACTAGACAGTTGACTCGACCTAAGAAACGCATCATTTTATGGGCCAACAAAAAATGGACCTAATTTGGGAGGTCAACTGTTTTTTGAATCATTCAGCAACAGTTTTTGATCAGAGATCTTGCCAGGAGAGCCCCGTGGTCTTGGTCTCCGCGCCGGGGTTGGATCTCAACCAGGTGGAGGAGTCCTCCGTAGGCGCTTGGGCAGTTGGAAAGGGAAAGGAGAACGGGCGACCCAAAGGAAAGCTGTTCCGCGAGGTTCTCTGAATTCTTGCATAGAAACAGAGCGGGTCATGGTCAGTCACACTGATATGAGCAGATACCAAAAAGGCAAACTATATATACTTCTACATATATGACATATATATATATATATTTTATTAAAACACAAAGCAAAAACACATTAATGTTTGATGTTGCGATACCATGTACATACAACCTTGCTGGTGGCCTTTGCTAGCTGGATGTGCCATGTTCCCAGCTATTTATGTCCTTGGGACTAGCATGAGGTGTTCGTACATGGTGTTGACATCATGGGAAATGTGGATTTGGGCTGTGACAGAAAGAGCAATCTTCATTCCCTATGGATCCACATACCTTCTCAGAAGGTAATTGGACCCTCCAAGCCTATATAAATAGTCTCCAATCACCTTCTCAGAAGGTATGTGGACCCATAGGGATTCACATGCTGCTCTGCTGATTCTGATTCTGTTGATTCGCCGAAGAATGTGGTGGGCCTGTGAGCAAACCAGACGACTTTTTTGTATGCGTTCTGCTGGCGGAAGTGCGAATCGATCGGCTGGTTGTCTTGAAGGCTTGGCATTCCTTCAAGAGGCTCAATGACTGGCGAGTTCCTTCCTGAAGGGCTGGTTCATGGCATGCAGGGCCTGGCAGGTTCGTCTCCCACACCTCCTACATCACCGAATCAGAAGTCAGTGACACTGCTTTGGCAAATGAGCCAGCGAACACCAATCATGATGAGGATGATGATGAGCTTGAGTGGGGTAGTGTGGGCCAGGATGATTACCGGCCTTGTGTTTCCTTTTGTCTCCCTATTTCCCCCATGGCTCTTCTATGATTCTGCATTGTCTTCCTTTGTTTGCCATGGCTCTTCCGGATGCTGGGTTGATGTGAAACTTTGTCTCCCTTTGTCTCCCATGGCTCTCCTGAATGCTGGGCTGAGATTGTTCTGCTTTGTCCACCCTTTTCTCCCATGGTCCCATGGCTCTTCTTCTCTGACGTTGAAACCAAATGTAGAAACTCTTTTGGCACTTATAAGAATATTAGGAATTGCAGGCTTGTCTCCATTCTAGGTTCTTCACTGGCAACCTGTCACGCCATCGCTTCCCCTTTGTTTCCCCTCTCTCTTCTTGATTCTCCACGGGCATAAGGCCCCTGAATTCCTCTCAGTATAGGCATGCTCGCCGGATCAGCACGCACTCGGCGGCTCGGTGAAGCATGTTTCTGAACATGTGTCGAAATGTACCGAAAAGTGAAAAGTGTCGAATATGTGTGTATACAGGCATATGTGTTTGAAAAGGCAGAGTTTGACCAATTCAACGTCATGTGTCTGCCAAGGGGCGCTTGTTTTGCCAGAGGAGTTTTTGCAATGCACAATGGCATGTTGAAAGGACAGGCTCTCATGTCCGTGCTTCTGAAAGCGAGGGCGCCTATGCTCAAAATGAGGTGCATTTCTGACAGCGCGCAGCAAGATGCTTTGGAACATGCAGGGTAGCGCTTTTGGAAACACCACGTCATGTTTGTGGGAACGCTCGCTTGTACTCTCGAACTGTGCAGTTATCCTTAGTGCAACAATCATGGAAGTGGACAATGGCCCTGGAAAGGCAATTCTTCTCTACAAGCTGGGGGTTGTCCACGTCCATGTTTGTTGGAGTGAGGGTTTGTTCTGGAGGGAGGGTGCATGTGCAATGGCATGCGTCTGACCCATCATAGTTGCGACTTTGGAACTGCAACGTCATGTTGCAGGAACAAATTGGTTGTTTTGAGCTGATCGAGCTGCGCATGTGTATTTTGGAGCATATTTTTGCAACATGTGTTTTTTCCACAAACATATAAACGCCTTGAGACTTGCAACCTCACGTTTTTTTGTTTTAAGAACGCATGATTGCATTCGAAAAAAAAAAATATATATATATTTGTGAAAATGTCACTGTTTTTTTGGTGCAACGTTAGAGTTTTGTTATGATTGTATATGCCAAGGCTGTTGAAAACAAACCAACTGAACAAATGTTGTTGTGGGTCGATGCTGGTGTACTTTTCTTCACGGAATGAAGTTGAAGAAACTTGGTTCTGAAAGGTGTTCGAACAGTTTAATGCATGTTTGAGACTTGAAACATGTTTCGATGTCCAAATCACACGTTCCGGATAAAGAGAGAGAGAGAGAGAGAGAGTGAAAGGCAATGTTTGTACCTTTTGGGGTCTCCAAAGTTAGTAAACTTAGTAAACAATAAGGTTGAATGTGACCCTAAAACACACACCCATGGGAGTCTCAACTCCGCACGAAAAACATCAACACGCCATTGTTTCCTGATATTTGAGCTTCTGAAACATGAGCAAGCTGGACATGTCCATTATAGGACAAAGGAATGCCAATGGTAATGATTCTGTGCGTATGTGCGTGGTCATTCTTGCAATATTTGTATACCTAGAACCAGCCAAAACACGTGTTTTTTTCCTATATCAAAAATGAGGTCAAGAGGTCAGAAGAGTTCTATAGGTATAATATACTATAGTTTATATATATATATATAATATTTTGAGAGAGACAAAAGCACGGTTGCACAGTCAGTCATCCAGTTTGCAAAAATGTCTTCCTGGACCTTCCAAAGTACCCGTGAATTGGACATAAGTGCGAACAAACAAACAGGATACGTGTGCAGTGCCCATTGTTTCGAGTACGACCGCGAATTGTCCTGTTGGATTGGGAGACATCCCACATGGGTCGCTTACTTACCACACCCCAAGTGGACCGAGAGTCCACTGCCGTCCGCACCACCTGTCGGTGCGGTTCACTCGGTGAGTCCGTTCAAGGTAGCTGCATCTACCACATGGAGCTCGGATCGGGAGCCGCTGGATGGAACCCATGTGGACGGACCACAGACCACGACCACCAGACCACAGCGTCGGACATGTTGCCCGGAGTTCGGGTTTAAGCCTGCAGCATGTCATAGAGGGGGCAAAACATAGAACGCACCACTTGGGAAGATGGGTTGCGATATATCGGAGGGTTGACATAAAAATACTTTCAAAACACATATTTCAGCATGACCCCTGAGCCCCGGTTCGACAAGGTAGAGGAATGAACACATTTGATGTTGAATTTTTAGGTGCACACTCTCTGGAATAATCATGGAAGTGGATGTCATGTCATGGCAACTTGGATGACCATTTTCCTCTACAAACAGGTGGTTGAGTTGTTCTATGTGTTTCTTGTCCATGATGTTTTCAGGGAGGGAGTGTAATTGAAGGTTTATTTGAGATGGTGGCTGGGCATTTTGATTACTAATTGTGCGAGCTATCCAGACAATATAGGGCCTCATCGCTGCTTTTCAGATTCCAACGATAGGATCAGACATGGAATTCGGAATCGACTTACAGTACCCTTCCTATAGTCATCCCATGAAATGTTGTAACATTACTATATTGCCCATCACAAGTCCCAACCCTAGGAACATTCTGGTAAAACTCCTGAATTAAGACACAGATGATTAGGTATCCCAAACACTCCATGATGTATGGTGTGTATATATATACCATACAACATGGAGTGTTTGGGATACCTATTTTGGGATGGTTGAAAAGGAGTCAATGTAGGCATTATATATGTATTTTTTTTTACCATATATATATATATATATAGAGTGTTTGGGCTTGTGGAAACACACTTTGTGTTGTTTGTTTAGAAGATATTCCTCAGAGGCTCTCAAAACCAAGAAATTCACATGAACCCCACACTCCGGGGATGGTCGCTGCTTCGCCACTGGGGCTGGATGCAAACTTCTGGCAACAACTGAACACCAGATGGTTCCCCGGAAGAAAACAACAACTGTGCAAAGGAAGAGCAGTTTTGCGGATCACATCGAACCACTCTTCAGATTCCAGAATCGTCCAAGAGATGAAACACGATCAAACCACTCATGTCTTTGCGACCGGAGCCCCACCTTCTGCCACAGCGAACCGCAGACACCGGAAGAGGGACCGTTTGTCCTCCCGGAATCCGTTCGGAATCCGTGCGCCGCTCCCGGCCGAGACGACCACCACCACGACCATCGCTGAGCAGTGCACATGGCAGATCAACGTGAGCCGGAGCGACCAGGCCGCCGATCCGGAAGCGGAAGTGGAACCGGAGGGAAGCATGGACAGGATAAAAAGGGGGGCGACTAGATGGAGGTTCGGAGGTTGAACTGTTGGATACATGTTTCAGACTAGAAGGATGTAGAAGATAATATGTTGACGAATGTTCGGTCGCCGCTTCGTTGCTCAAGAAGCTGGGACAGACCCCCCCAAACCAGCCACCTACCTCGGGGCTTTTTCATCTCTTGGAGGTCGTTGGAGCGGGAATCTACTGTTTGGATCGCAGAATGAATGAGGGAACACCTCCAGGAAATCGTGATGTTCGACCTCAAGACTGGGGGATTCCCGTAGATGTTTCCGCCATTTCTGGGTTTTGAAGAGTTGACGCAAGTTGCAGCCAGCCAGTGGTGACAACAGCTGGGACTGATCGACCAAATGGAGAACCACTCCGTGTGGCAGTTCAGACCATCAAGTCAAAGCGATACGAAAGAAATACCAGAAACAACACAATTCCATACAAAAGCAGCAACAGATGTTCTGGATACGCATGGAGTCATTTCTCTTGAGAATGAGACGTGAAAAGCACACAGAACGAAACTGCAGGAAATGCATCTTCATTGGTCCCACAACAAGCCTTTTTCAGTCAGGTTGGCTGTTTCACTTCAACCAAGCACTTGTAGTGACTAAAGCAGTCACAGTCAATTCACTCTGTCACTTGGACTGTTTCACTCAGTCAGTCCGTAAACCCTTTTTGTAGTGCCTTACGCCTTCAAGCACGTGGAGAAGTTTCGCGCTGCTTTGAGGGATGTTGCGTTGATTTTCTATGAGGCACATCAAAATGGACGCTCATGAGTCTCATGAGTTTCTTTGATGCAAAGCGACAAGAGGCTATTGGAAGGATGGTGGACTACACAGACTGCACAAAGCGGCGGTGTTTTCGCGGCGTCCCACAGGCTGACGTCCGGATGTCACTGGATGTCACCCTACCTGGCATTTCCAACTATACAATTTCAGAGGTTCGATGGCACTGGCACCCACAGATGTCGGACTCCGACAGATGGCACCAAACTTGGGGTAACTCGTGGCATCTAGACTAAACCACTGTCCAAGTTCTGCCAAGTTCTGGGCTGGTTAGATGAACCTTCGGCCGGCCCGGCAGATGGACAGTTGGACGAGGATAGACATCGTAGCCCGTAGCCCTATGGATCCACCGACCGAACCAGGTCGGTACGGTGAGCAGTGGGAGAGCAGTCTGATGTAGGCGCCAGCCAGTCGGGTCCAGTCTTACCGAACCAGGCCGGTACGGTGGCAGTGGATCCATAGGGAAGGTCGCCATTGTTCACGATTTTGGCCGACTCGTTGGACCTCAGAGTTTGGGATGACGTGCGCTCCATCGAACCGAAACAGGGACTGACTTCCTCGAAGCAAAATGGTAGCACCGTTTACTTCGGCACAGCCGCCTTCCTTTTGACAAGCCACCCTGGTCGCAGCGAGCCTAGGGTTCCTATCAAAATCCTCCCCGTGTTGGAGAAGGATAATGTTGGATCATTATCTACAAAACGGGGGGGGGACCCTTTGCAGGAAACGTTTGAAACACGCTTTGGTATGGCTTTCCTTTTCCGAAGGATGGAGGCAGGCTTTCCAAAGCGCCCAAAGCCACCTGGAAAGGCTACCAAAAGGCCAAAAGGCTTTGGAATGGCACAAAGTCCCAAAGGTTTGAAATGCAATATGAAAACCACAACAACAAATCATATCAGAGCCACAAAAAAAACATAAGTAGAAAAGCACTAGTTTGAGAAACCATAACAAAGCCATAACAGCAAATCATACCAAAACAATAACGAAACCATAAAAAACATACTTTGCATACATGCTTCTGTCACTGGCTTGGAAGTCTTAAAACAAATAGCAGGAAGAAAAGGAGGAAGGTCTAGAGGAAACTTGTAAAACACAGAAAGGCGTCAAGAAAACGGAACCTCCAAAAATGTAAGTTACACATTCCATGTTTTTTCAAGAATGTAGCTTACATTTATTCAACAAATGTAACTTGCATGTCTTAAGCCAGCCCAAAGTTGCAAAACATGTAGCTTACATTTAGACAGGTCCCCCCCCTTAGGGGTGGGGATGTTGGATCAGGTGGCTGAAGATGTTGATATGTTAAAGAGGATCAAATAGGATTATGCTCCGAACAACTCTTGTATTTGGCCGTTACTGCCATGATAGCAGCCATGCATCCACTTTTCGAAGCAATCTATGACCCCCAAGACCCTGGAGTCCTCATCAGCAAAGCGAAAGCGAACTTCAAAACACCACATGGAAGTCACCAATTTCATCCAACTTCAATTCAAAGGTCAAGGCAACTGAAGTTGCCTCCGAATTTCTGATATCGTTTCATCCCCTCTTTATCCTGAGAAATCCTCAGAGACTCACTTGGATCTCAATCCCTCCCTTAATCTCCCTTATTTTTCTCTCGGCCGGACTTCAAAACCACCATGTGTGAAGAACCGGACGGAGCACCGGATGACGGATGACGTACTGCTTGGGGCATCGCGTCCGACGCCAGGGCATCGACAAGCTTTGGGTCACCTACGACATCGAGCACCAACGCTTCGACGAAGCCTTCCGCTTCTCAGGCACCGCGGGGCGCGGCACCGGTGACGACGCACCGGTGACCGCGACCGGGTCGAACCCGCGAAGCGGCGAGCACCGGCAGCTTCGGCGCCAAAGGACCGGGCGAAGCGTACGGCGATTTGGTCGGCCACATGAGGGTTTGGGTCGGGGACGCATGCTTGCTTCCACGATTGCCTTGCTATAGCGGTGTGGTATGTGACTATAATGTAAGTATGAGTGTGTTTTAGACTTCATGGATACATGAGTATAAGGAACCAAGACACTTTTTTGTTTGTGTTCGTCCATTTCATCTTCGACCCAGGAATCACCAATGAATCTTTGTGTTGGCCTCTTTGTTGAAGGTCAACAAAGCTGCCTCTTCATATGCGCTGCAAAGGCTTCCAAGACCTTCAAACTGACCCAGCTCAAGATGCCAGGATGAGGTCGCCACTATAATAGTCTGTAATCAGTTGGAGGTTACTTCCAATATGCTCGCTTGTGGTAGTGCGGGTTTGAGCATGCAATTTGAGGTTTGGGATGCAACGATGCTCGGTCCCAATCCAATTTCCCAGTGCTACCTATAAGCTGCAGATATCCTATTTCTGTCGGTTTCCAACTCTCCCCAAATTAGCAGCTTCTCACTCGTTCAATTGGTATGTAGAAGCTCCCGATTAGCCTTCTTACATTTCATCCTGCGGAGCCATGGCACTACGACCAAAGTGGGATGATCAAAGATCCGATGTCATGTCGTGTGATGTGCGTCATGTGGGATGAACGTGTGCGACAGACTCAAAATTCTGCTGTGCTGCGGGGGAACACTTGAACTCTTGGACCAAAACCCCAACTGTGAGCTCGGAAGCCATGGTCGAACTCCGCTTCACATCCAAAGCTCCGGCTGGCTCGAACTCCGCCAGGTTGTGATGCTGTGGAGTTGCCAGAGGGAAAGCAACCAGCATTCGAAAGGGCGGAATTTACACTCTGACTCACTAACATGCAAGTGGAAACCCCCTTGTTGGTAAAGGAAAGTAGTCTTCCAAAGGACCATTTTCCACTTCCATGTTAGTGAGTCAGAGGGTAATTGTTTTTTTTTCCCCCTTTTCAGACTTTCTCGGTCAGACGTTTCAGACACTTTCTCGGTCAGCGTATTCCTGATTCAACTTCCCAACGACGATTCCTGATTCAACTTCCCAACGACGATAGGGTCGTTTGTGAAGTGTCAAGAACTGTAGATCAGAAGCTATACCATTTGCTTATCTTGTACAATGTCGACGTAGGATAAATCATACAACACCCTCTTCAAGGTCAGCAAGGTTTGAAATTGGAGGTATTGGAGAGCACATCTGCCTGATAAAGGTGATGACCTGATGAAGGGTGATGGGATTCTGTGTGGACATGAGGCCTGTGTGAGGGCTAGAGAGTTTTGGGGATTGTCGGAAACATGTTGATAAAAGAGAACATTGGCAGCTTAGATTGCAGCTTTAGTATCTGTAAAATGCTATAATGACTTTGAACGAATTCACAAGTTGATAAACTTTCTGGGGGCATATTGCAAATGGGATTGATTAATAGGGGGAGGGTTTTGCCAAGGAAATTCTTTACTATAGAGGGAGGTCAATGTGGAAATTTAGGCTTCAAATTAAAGTTATTGTTGGGCGCCCGAGATGGGCTTTATTCATACCGGAGGCTACTTAATCCTAGGTGCGCATTAGGAAAAACACCAGCATTGGCCGTGCAAACTGGTGCTCTAACCACTTCTACCAACTCCATTTCGACCGTACTTGGGGCGACCGGGGGGTTCAGCTCCTATCCGAGGATGAACGTAATTACGTTGGAGCAGTTGAGTAGTCGTAGATCTCTAGACTATAACATACCAGAACCCTCCTGTCGGGGTGCCCTGTCTGGAAGCCATCCTAGGTGGTGTGGGGTAGTCCAGCCAGGACACCCCTTGGAGGGTCCAGGTACTGTAGAAAGTATATAACTGTTCAGTCTGATTGTTATGCATGGCAGAAGATATCATTGGTAATGCGATTCTCACAAATATGTAGTGGGTGGCCCATTTGTACGCAGGGTTTTGACGTTTCTGCAGGTCTGAATTTGCTCAATATGTGTTAACCATTGATCTCCAAAATGTTTTGTTTGTTCGTGCAGGATATTGCAGGATGCCTAATTCTGCATTTATGTTAGTCCCAAAATATGTTGGTTCGGAGTTCATTTGAGTACATACACGGATGCTTAGCTTCATGAAGTTCATAGATTGAATTCCGCAGTGAGCAGTGAATTCCTACCTGATCAGCGTTCGCACCACCGGCGGTTTTCCGAGAATTCCATTCCCAGACACCACCTGTTTGGGACTGACATGTAGACCTACACAATACACTGGGGCTGGGGTGATTTTAAGGGTGCAGATTTAGATATTGGAAACATATTTAGATGTAGAATATCATGCAGAATAGATCTGAAAACACATCTAAACAAAGCATTTGCAGAATATAAGATTTACAATTAATTACATATATTTGCTATGACATTGACCTCCCTGAATCCGCCCCAATGTGGATGATTTGAGACTCATTCCTTCCAACGACGTTTCTCACCACGTTGAAATCAACGACCGTAGAACCTTTCCGATGCTCGGTTTTTGAGGCCGAGCCGCATGCCGCTGCCATCGTCGCCGTTTGAGGCATTGTGTGGCCGAGGGAAAGCCCAACGGGATCCGCATTTTGAAGAACAGGCGGATCCGGGCGACGATCCATCGGACGCTTCGACCGGGTTCGGGGACCAGGCGAGGAACTCGGAGGTCTGTGCAGTCGTCTGTGACCGAACGAGGTCGTGACCGGACGCTGAAGCTCGTTTTCATGTGACCCTTCTGAAACGAAATGAAAGAAGTGGAGCTTGAAAGCTCCGCAGCGTTTGACTCGAAGGGACTTGGAAGTATGAAGTATGCAAAGACCGTAAAGAGTAGGTCCTTTGCTCCATCCCACTCAGTTGTTCTTGTTAGCTTCTTCGAACTGACTGGGTATGGTCCCACTCAAACCACCCAGTCATGTAGACCATGAGCACTGGCCCCCTACGAAATACCGTCCGCGAACTCCTATCCGCCGCCACCGTGAGGTGGGGACATGGCCTAGCAACCGGTTCCTGCTGCGACAGCACCACCAACAAGGCGCACGTTTCTCGGCGCGTTTCTCTTGCGCCCTGAGGTATCGGTCGGTCATGGTTTCTGACGGAAAAGAAAAGCGGGGTGGTGGGGTAGGCAGATTTCACTTTGCTATGATATATGATTGAAATATATGGAAATAGAATTGAATTGTCAAGGAAGCTGTGTGGAAGTGAAGTGAATCCCGTTTGACAGGTTTCCGTTGGTGTCTTTTTGTTATTGTTGTTTTGTTTGACCCGATCATCAATGATCAGTCCGTCAATCTTAGGTTTTGCATCACACCATGTAGGGGTTGAAAAGGTATGAAATTCCCCACAAGAGTATATACTTTAAGACCGTATGGGCATGGGGTCTCTTGATATGTTTGTGTGATTTCAACTAACTGTTCCCTTGCAGTTCTTCAGGAATGACAGTTGTCATGTAAATGTGTTTAAGGCTGTTGGGTACTTACGCGGAATTTTGCGGGTGGGTGCGTGCTGAAACCTTGCTTAACTTGCTGGAGCACCAAAATATGAGGTTACAAAATGACTCTACACAACGGGGGCTGACAAAAGTTGTGACATTTTGTGAACCAGTGAAATGATGTGATTTGATGTGATATGTGTTGTTGATTTTTCATGGTTTGCGGTTGTGCTGGCAAATCCTGCAGCTGTAAGGATTGACGGGGATCTAACTAACCGCCTGTTTTTGGAGGGGAAGGTTTTTGGTTGAAGTCTGAAAACGTCTCAAACCCACTTGATAACCTTTGTCAGGTTATCCACACGCTTCTCCCATGATGCCATATGATCCTGCGATTCCAACAACCGTTAAGCGTCTTTACTGAACAAGCATTGCTTGACTATAACAACACAGTTTAAAGGGGTCGACCTTTCCTTTAAGTCTCGAATGGAAGGCGAGATGGAGATGTTTATAGGAAACTCGGCCCGTCGGCTGCCACTGGGCCACCGCAACCCGCCACCGGGCCGCAGCTTCAGCCACGCCAGGTCATCTCAGCGAAGCGTCTCCAATGTGATGGCTATCTGGACCGGAGACGAATGCGTTTGGTCGACAAAAGCGACTGGTTTTGGGTTCATTACGCTGGCCATGGAACGTGGGAGGCCATGGGAGGCCATACATGGCCATTCCGTATCATGGGGCGGTTATTTTGACATGCACATTGAGATCTCGATTGCCCCAAAAACATCCAAAAACATCCAAAAACCATGGTGTGGCCCTGAACGAGTTCATACCGATCATAGCAAACCTATGCCATCCTACTAATGTGTTTCCTTTCTTGAACCTCGTCGAGGGGTGAAAACCTCGAACAAACAAAATAGACATGTGTTGCTCCAAGCAGCTAAGCAGCTAAACCTTGTGATGAAATTGACCATGCGCATGTCTCAAAATGATAGACTGATAGATCCCTCAAGACATGTGGACATGTGTTTGATCCATTTCTTCTCTCCCCACTGCCAGCTTTGCTTACCAGGACGAGTACAAGAAGTACGAGCGGAAGTACCTCACCTCGACGTCGCTCAGCAATCGAGATGGTCGGGGTGGATGGAATCGGAGGGGAAGCTGAGGAAGAAGTATACACCCTTTATCAATGTATCATTGGACCGTCCAAACTGGAGTGAATTGACCTCAAAAAGGCGGGCATAGCAGGGTTTGGGCCCGGAGCAAACTTCTTGACTCTTCTACGGCAAGACCTTCATACCGAGAAAATTGCTGAGGCCACAAGCAGGAAATTCTGATTTCAGGAGAGTTACTCAAATCCGGGTAGAGACTTTGAGGTCTGGACATCTTTTTGAGTCACCCTCAGCTTGGGTTTGGTGGCCTTTTTGGATGTTTGCCGCATGTAGGGCTACCAAGCTCCGCCCTGAGTCTCGGCAAGACCCAAGTTTGGAAGGCATGAGGGCCTTCCACACTCTTGTGGGACACTCTTGTGGGAGACTCTTGTGTGGGACACTCTTGTAGGAAACTCTTGTGGGACACTCTTGTAGGACACTCTTGTGGGGCACTCCTATAGGACACTCTTGTGGGTCACTCTTATCACGAAAGCTAGCCTTAGCTAGCTGGAGTTGCTCTTGCTTTAGCAAGTTAAGTGACGGGGTGGACGCACCTCAGAAACCTCAAATAATTGATTAAATCAATCTTATGGCCCCCCCCCCCCCCCGCGGTTCGACTCCCCCCTGCGCGCGGTGAGCGGGACCACCAAGCAGCTGCAGCACACCAAGCATCTGCAGCGCCCAGCGCAGCAGCGGCAGCAGCAGCAGCACCAGCAGCAGCAGCAGACCACCCAGCGGCGGCAGCAGCAGCAGCAGCAGCATACCCAACGCCGCGGCAGCAGCAGCCGCAGCAGACCACCCAGCGCCAGCAGCAGCAGCAGCAGCAGACGACCCGGCGCCTGCAGAGCACCCAGCGCAGCAGCGCCCAGCGCAGCAGCGGCAGCAGCAGCAGCACCAGCAGCAGCAGCACCAGCAGCAGCAGCACCAGCAGCAGACCACCGGAAGCCCGGCTAGCTTTCGTTCACCCCCTCTGGCCTCAAGTGGGACACTCTTGTCGGACATTCTTGTGGGACACTCTTGTGAGACTCTCTTGTAGGACACTGTGGGACACTCTTGTTGGGACACTCTTGTGGGACACCTTTGTAGGACACTCTTGTGGGACACTCTTGTGGGACACTCTTGTGTGACACTCTTGTGGGACACTCTTGTAGGACACTCTTGTGGGACACTCTTGTAGGGCACTCTTGCGGGACACTCTTGTGGGACACTCTTGTGGGACACTCTTGTAGGGCACTCTTGCGGGACACTCTTATGGGACACTCTTGTGGGACACTCTTGTGGGACACTCTTGTAGGACACTCTTGTGGGACACTCTTGTAGGACACTCTTGTGGGACACTCTTGTGGGACACTCTTGTGGGAAACTCTTGTGGGATACTCTCGTAGGACACTCTTAAGGGACACTTTTGTGAGACACTCTTGTGGGACACTCTTGTGGGACACTCTTGTAGGGCACTCTTGTCGGACACTCTTGTGGGACACTCTTGTAGGACACACTTGCGGGACACTCTTGTAGGACACTCTTGTGGGACACGCTTGTGGGACACACTCGTGGGACACTCTTGTAGGAAACTCTTGTGGGATACTCTTCTAGGACACTCTTGTGGGACACTCTTGTAGGACGCTCTTGTGGGCCACTGTTGTCGGGCACTCTTGTGGGACACTCTTGTGGGGCACTCTTGTGGCTTACTACTACTACTACCACTACTACTACTACTACCACTACTACTACTACTACTACTACTCCTGCTGCTACTACTACTACTGTGTCAATGACCGCGGCAAGCAAAACCGCCTCACTGCACACACTTTGCGTGCTCTCTGTCAAGTTTCCAAAACCAGCGTTTCATACGAGACTCCCTCCAAAAGTCACACGTCAAGTTTCCAAAGCGAGCGTTTACGCCGACGCCAGCGTGTTTCGCGCTCCCCAGTGGCACGGCACCACGTAAACGCACTTTCCACCAAAGCCGCGCAAATCCCAATGGCACTGCGACATCACAAACGTCGCGTCGCCACACGGCCTGCCCAGACACTAGAAGCAAACGTGTCACATGACGCCACGCAAACGCACTTTCCACCAAGGCTGTGCAAATCCCCATGGCACTGCGACATCACGAACGTCGTGCCGCCACACGGTCTGCCCACACACTGCACACTTCAACATCTTACATGTCCACGATTCCTCGCTACTTCACACGAATCTGACACGTCACGTTTCCATCCGAAACCCTCTCCAAAAGCTTCCCCCAATGGCAGCGCCTTACCGTCCTACTGCGGACGGTTGCGGACGGTTGCGAACATAGAAACAACGGGTCGCGAACAGGCTCTACCCCCAGACCCCCAGAGTTAAACGAGAACCCTTCGCTACGCATTCGGGAAAAAGTATATGCCCTTATTTGCCCCAGCCCACCCCCACTGGGCCCAATGAAGATGCAGGTATAAGTCTATGACGGGCATCTTACTTAATTCTGACGAAACATTTCTGGTGGCAGAGAACGACGTGCGGAATCATTTGATGCACGCCTATTTCCAAGCATATTTTTATCTAGGAATCTCTGACGTCTTCTGGCCTTTGCCAGGTTGAGCATCCAGATGCTGTTGAGGATCTTCAGATCCATGGGTCGGATGTTTTAAAGCAGGACCTCCGAGCCTTCTTGGAAGCCAAGACGAAGCCAATGAGATTGAGATGTGGCAAGCAACGCGCCGCTGGGTGGACTGGAAAGTTTGGCCACCTCTTGGAACAACCGCTAGGCCTTGTCCAAGACCGCCAAATCGTGAAACCGCTGAGCCACTCGCGGACACGACAGATGCAACTCGTGTTGTTTACATGGCCTCTGGTGATGACCCTTCGGTCGAGCCAGCTGCCGAGGCAGAGGTTCACGACGACCCCATGGTCGATCCCACTGCCGAACAGGATGTAACAGACCCGGTTGCTGAGCAGGACATGGCCATTGGTGGCGAGGAAGGAGGTGCAGAGGAAGGAGTTGCCACTCGAGGTGATGAAGGCGGAACCGGCTACCTGCTGGAATGCTTTCGATTTAAACGATTTAAAGTTTTAAAGGTTGCAATTGCCTTTGCAGGCTAGTAGAATCTATCGGCCATCGTTGCAAACCTCTCCCATTTTTGGAACGCAATGGTTGCTTTCTGACGCCCGCAAAAATCCTTCTCTAACCCGATCCATTATAATCGCTTTGGCTTCGGCTGCATCGGTCACTCCTTCTCCGAACCATAAAAACACAGAACCATTCTCTAGAGCCATAGAGTCTGTCTCTATAGCCATTTTCAAGGCTCCCGGCAATCTGCTCCGCCGTGAAATTCATTCTCTAGAGCCATAGACCCAATCCCAAGGCTCCCGGTAATCTGCTCCGCCACGGCTTTATGCAATCTAATTCCACACCGAAAAGGATCAAACAACAACTGTCCTCGAATCTGAGCGGTCATTGCTCTAAACCCGATCCGTTATAATCTCTATAGCATTCTATAGTTTGGCTGCATCAGTCACTCCCTCGTCTTCTCTCAAACCATTCTCTAGACCCAGAGAGGGCCATTCTAGTCTGTCTCTAGAGCCACCAAACGTTGCTTTCGGACGCGGGTATAGAAACGTATAGAAACGTGAAATTCTAAAGTCTATTTCTAGATCATTCTAAATCCAAAGACCCAATCTGAAGGTTCCCCACAATTGCCGTCTAAGTGCGCTTTATCCTAAGGCTGCCATCCATAACCCGCTGGCGCGCTCCCCCGCCATCGGCTGGGGTCGGCGGATATCTGACCGCAGTCATTCATCCCTTTGGATCCACATACCTTCTGAGAAGGTGATTGGAGACTATCTATGTAGGCTTGGAGGGTCCAATTACCTTCTGTGAAGGTATGTGGATCCATAGGGCATGCATGAACATCATGAACTCCACATTTTCGGGACAATTTGTAGATTTATACAAGACCCTGGTACCCCTGAAGAGTGATAATTTTCATTCCATTCATGATCAATCTTTGGGGAAGTGGGGTGACAAAAAGCAATCGGGCGTCGGGAGTGAGAATCGTTGCTCCAGAATGGTTTTTGTTGCTCCGCAACGAATCTTGAATGAAAAACAAACGTTATATTATTTGTATTGAGCGCACTGCGAACGCAATCTGAACGCAATTACGGTTGGACTTGGTTTTATTTGTTTCACTCCGAAGTGTTTTTTGTTTGCCGTGATACGTAGTTACCATTATTCAGGGTTACCAGCACTTTAAAGTCCTCAAAACCGCGCACCAAACCCTGCAAAACATCGTGAGTCTGGGATTGCGCGATGAGGAAGTTGTTGAGGGGCACTACCTACTCCACCTATGCCGAAGCACGTGAAGCCTGCCTTCGGCCCCTCGGGCACATTTGGAGGATCAGTTTCTTGATTGGGCAGACGCTGGGGGAAATGATTCATTGAGTCTTTGGGATTCTGACAGTACTCTCTTTCTGCGCCGTTGGTGTTTTGGGCACTCTGGAAGGTTTCACCCAAAGCGACACGAGGCTTTGCTGAGGCTGAAAATCGTTCAAGTCTGCAGTTACAACCAGCTGGGAGGACTTTATGATGTGTTGGACCGGAGGCCACAGCAGTACACCCCAAAAGACACATGCAGCACAAGCAACAAACAGCAGTCGATCTTTTGTGCAAGGTGCATCACATCCAGTTGCTTGTGTCAAAACCACCCCTTTGGATCCCTTTGGAAAGACACTCTTAGGGAACTCTCTTTTCTGGCGGGGTAGTGGCCTTGAAATCTACCCCCCAAAAAAATAATTGTGGCTGATGAGTGGAATTTCACACCAAACCATTGGATCTGGAACATGTTGTCCTCGATCTTCGTGTGAAAGGAAGCGGGTTCCGTTGCCTTCCAAGGAACGATTGACCTGGTTTTGTAGTCCAAAAATCCCAGCAAAACAGTGATTGGTCGGGAATCAAAACTCAAACATGAAATTCAGGGTGGACCAGGAATCCTAATGCAGACTCTTCAAAATTGTTTCTATGTTCAACCCCACAGGCCTTCTTGGGGGGCTCTTTACAAAGAGTCATTATATATTCATTTAATATATAGGGGATTCAATAATTGGTTGTTTGATGTTAGGTCAGTTTGGGTCGCGTTAGGTCGTGTTCTGTCGCGTTCTTTTCGCAAGAAAACCCATGCGCGCGTTCTCGAGGAAGGGTACCAAGTGCTGGTGGATCTATGACGACAAATGCCCCTCGGCGAACATCCATTCCGACAGACAGCCTGGCCGCGCCAGTGAGTCGCACGAACTTCCGGAAGGCGTACCGGGGCATTTGTTTCACCATGTTTCACCCAAGAAGCACCTTCTAAATGTAGGGGCCATGTTTGCAGACCCATGGAGTGTTTGGGATGAATATATCCGGAGATTTGCATGTCCGATTTGCCAGAGCACATTTGCTCTGCTGTACGTGAACCTGGTTTTGCGGTTCGGGTGATTTTCATGTTCGTTATCTGGGTAAATGGTCCTGGATGGTCCTGGCATTGCTATCTTCGTTCCCCCCCTTCCTGGACAAGCTTTTGTCCATGTGAAAGATGTCCATGTTAACAACGTTGGACTGCTTCTCGGTGGTCCATATATACTCGGATCTTTCGCACGCTGTTTCATGCTGTACAACGTTTTGATAGGCGACGCCTCCAAGCAGTCAGGTCGGGAAGGAAATCGATGGTCGGTGGTGGAACTAGTTGAGGGAAGTGCAGCTCCAAAGTAAAGACACTGCTCTTCACATTTCCATGTGGAGGCCGCTGGAGGCCCCAAACCTGATAGATTGACCTCCCTCCCTAGTCTATTCAGAGTCTATTCTGTTCTTCCTGATGCGGCGAGAAAAGTCTCGTCTGGCATACTAGGCATTCTGCCAAGTATCCATCACACATATGCTTTCATATGTGAACCCCGAATTAACCCTCAGCGCTGTCCAAGGAGAAAGCCCATGCTTGAAGTCGGGCGGTCGAAACTCCAGCTAATATTCGTGCAAAACGAATCTTGTATTCACGAGTGAGATAAATCTCGGCTCCATCAATGGTCCCATTAGGCAGAGATTTGCCGATGCTTTTGTTCCGGTGTCTATTATGGCAACCCGGCACAAATGAAGTACCTGAGTCAACACGTATGCGTGCCACAAATTGGCGGACCTCAGCTGTCAGATCCCTAAAAGTATGGATCGAAGAATCCTGCGATGGAAGTTGGAATCCTTGCAGGTGGAACAACACAGCCAATTCCACGTAGGAGGTGACTGCATCCTCAGAAATCCGCCATCGTTGGCCTGAGAAAAAGGCCCCCAAAACTTTCCAATCACTGGTTTTTGAAGCCCATTGTGGTGGAACATCATCAGGATTGAACACAAACGTGGGTGTCCATGGAAAATGATGAACTTGTGGTTCCCACTCCCAATGAGGGAAGAGGGTAAAAACATCTTCAGAAGCCTCCTCTTCAGCAAAGCGGGCTTCCTGTTTGCTATCTTGATCAAGTCTCTGAAGCGCTGCAATCTCAAGGTTCAGCGTTGTTAGCCAATCCTGTCTTCGAACGATGCTCTGTTTTAACATCTGTTCATCTGAAGGGTGTACACTCGTGGCCTGCAAGGCATGCTCCTTAGCAAACTTGTCAGCGAACCGATTTCCAATGATATGACGAATTTCCGTCTTCTTTGCTTCAGCCATGGCCTGGGTGATGAAACACTCAGGAAGGTGTTCATATAAATGAGAAGGGACCCATGACACCGCAAAGGGTTCAGGGTGAAGACACGACAAAAATTGGAATCTGTTGCTGATTGCAAGCCACCATGAGAAATGGGACCATGAGGCATGTGGTGCACCATCTGACTGCAAGACCGAAAATTGGTCAACAATTGTCTGGCAATCAGTGAACACTTCGGTTGGAGTAGCGCATTTATGAATTGCAACAACAATAGCCCAAAGCTCAGTAGTGTACGAAGAAAGATGAAGATGATAAACAGGGCCACCAAAAAGTTCTTGGCTGCTTTCGTTGACAATAGAAAAGCCTCCAGCCGAAAGCCAGAAAACATCTGGCCAAAAAACTGAGCCATCAGACCACCAGCTGACCCGGGGAGCTGAGGGATTGAAAGTCTCAGCAAGAATGTCTTCGGGGTTGTTCCATTGCAGTCTGTGTTTCACAATACCAACAGGGTGTTCAACAATGCCCAGAAGCCCAAAATTTGCACCTAACTCGTGAACAGGTTCAGGGGGATGTAGGGCATGGTATGCTTCACACTCCAGAACGACGTGGGCTAACGATTCTTTCACACTCCCACAAAACCGGCACTTGTCTGAATCGTCCAAATTTGCTGCACACAGACGGTCACGTGTCAAAGTGCAGCCCACTAATTGGGCAACAAAATGGCTCTCAACTACGGCTTTGGACTCATGCTGGATGGTGGACTTGTCACGAAGCCCACACGTGAGGTCAAAATCAAGGATGCCGGAAGGCATGCGGAAGTCCTTGCGGTGCTGATTTGCTGCCTCAAGGTAACAACGGTGTCTCGATAGCCGATGCAGCAACAACTTGATATCCTTCGGGTGGAGATCCCAAGCAGGCATGAGAGGTTTACCCCCAAAGGAAAGAACAAGGTCATGTGACAAAGACAGGCCAAAGAAGCGGAAGGCATCCTTAATCTTGGTCAACAGAGCCTGTTCTACCATGCAATGTGTCGCCGCCCAAAGACATTTCTCACGCCCATTTCCGGGCATCCTCAAAAACCTCAGGAATTCCATTATTGCATGATACGCTTGCGCACACACAGGATCATTGCGGTGTGGATCCGAAAGGAAAGCCAGGACTAGGGCACGGGACCTCCAGTGTGGTCGCCGTCCCCAGAGAGTGTGCACAATTTCAGATTGAAACTTCTTCGAGACATCTTTAGGAATCTGATTGAGGGAGGCAGCATAGCAGAAACGTGGAATCACTTTCACCCCAAGGAAAAAGGTTTTCACTTTCACCGGAACCGGAAGAGCCCGAATGTGTTTAATTTCTTTAACAATGGCTTGTGTCTTCAAGTCTTCAAAGTGAAAAGCCTGGCGTTTGGAGGTAGTGACAAACGCCCCCAGAACCTC